CATAGAGGACGTTAGGAACGATTTCGCCGAGAAAGAATTTCAGAGATAGAAAGTTTAAGGAAAGAAGAATGATTTTAGGGATTAGAGGGTATCAAGCTAAATACTTGTTGGATGTAATAGCGGATTAGTGTAGTCGCCGCTTTAATTGGGAAAGATAACCATTAAAGCAGGTGGTTGGGAAAAGGATTTATTACTAAAATTTGAATTACAATTTTAGGCCGATTCAAATTCCAAACACTTCGTATCATAAGTGATAAAAGCCTTTGAAATTCAGGGGGCATTTGTTGGCACCAAAACTTGGCAGCCACTTCAGCAGCGACGTGGACCAATGGGAAGCCGATAAGGGTTGAGCATGTCCAAGAATGGATCGGCCAGTTTGAAGATATTAGGAGCAAATATAGAAAGATATATTTCAGCCACCTAATGATATGGCAGTTGCTGAAATATAGCAACTCACATTTGACTTTTTTCAAAATGGGATGTTAACAGAAAAGGAAAAGGCTAGAGTTTGGATGAAACTCAATAACTAAATTCTTATAAAATAGGAAGTTTAGTTTGATGAAAGAAGGAAAGCTTTGAAGACATGTATAGAAGGTTGGCAGCATGAAGTGAACAAATCTAATTGTGACAAGTGGCCTTGACATGACGCTAAAGGATGGGCCACTTGGGATAGAACACGGCTGCCAAGTTTATAAAAGGAAGTTGCTAGAACTTAGCAACTTTTCAGCAACTTTCTAGCAACGTTTTAGCAATATCTCGGCAACTTACATGTGATTAAATCGAGGAAGGTTGTTTTTACAGAGATTTCCTACTGAAACAAAACAAGAAAGGAAGCAGAATAACAATAGGATTTGACTGAGTTCAAATTGTGAAGAAAAGAATCAAAGAAGGAGAGATTTTCTAGCAATAACTTAGGAAAATAAGTTGAGATAGAACTTCTATAAATAGAAGTATTGTATTCTTATTCCAACTTGTCCAGCACCACCACAAAACATGCATTTCAACTAAAAATGTTTTCAATTGACTCTACGTCATTCTTTTCTATCAATTTCTTTATTTCAATTTAATGGCAATTGATTAGATCATTGTCAACTATTTCAATTCAGCCATTTACTTTCTTTCAATTTCAATTATGCCAATTTAAATTACGCAATTTTAGTTAGGCTTTTAATTCAATGGCAATTGATTAAATTCTTGCCATTGAATCGTAGTGACAATTGATTAAATTCTTGTCATTACTTGGCTGATGGCAATTGATTAAATTCTTGCTATCACGTTTCAGTGGCGATCGATTAAATTCTTGCCATTGTGTTTGGCTGATGGCGATTGATTAAGTTCTCGCCATCACGTTCGGCCGGCGATCGATTAAGTTCTTGCCGCCTGTCTTCACTCGGCCATTCCATCCATTCAAACATTCATCAGCCGTTGCATTTCTTTAGACACTCTAAAAAGTCCTTGCTACAAACAAGGCATAAAAGAACCTTGCTGGGAGTTCTTACTAGTCTCTCTCCCACACAATCGCCTGAGAGTCAGCCATCGGAAAAAGGGATAGGCTGGTGTTCAATTACATATTTTGGGTATTTTGTACAAATACTCTGGCACGCCCGCGAAGAGTCCATCGACCGGCGTAGGGAACAAAAACCGCGCGAACAGATGGTTCTAGACTATCCAACACACATAATGAACTAGTTCAATTTAGATCGTTTTTATAATTTTTTTTTTTGTAATATATTAACACACTTTATATATATATACTCACTGAATTTACTCTTTTATATATTAATTTCTTAATGATTGTTCTTCTCGGCGGCAAAAATGAAACTCGACTTTGGGCCTAATACAATGACAGCCTTGTCACACGAAACAATAAATTAACGGGCCTGACAGTTTTATTTGGGCTGGCCCAACTAAGGTTGCAGCTGGGGGATTATTTCAAAGCTATCTTACCCCAATCCGGATCTGAATTGGCTTGGACAACCTTTTCGAAAAACTTCAATTCGAACCCGAATTTGAAATCTCACCACAGAAATCAGACTGTTTCGAAGAGGCATTGGTTGTTTAAGCTAGATGAAGCATGAAGAAAAAATTGCACAAGCCTCCCCACATTAAGCTGTCTGAACGAGGTAGACAATAAATGCTTGGATTCTATGTTGTAACGAGTTCTCTGTTTGATGTGGTCCAATCACAAATATATAAATAATCTGTAATTGCAAAATTTAAAATTTATTTCAAAAAAATTATTGTCCCATATATATCATTTTCTTAATTTTGTAATTACTAATTATTTTGTGTATTTGATAGTGGATTATATCAGCTGTTAATATAGATGATTTACTCATCGATAGACAAGTTTTGTCCATGTATTGTACTATTGAAACAAGATTTGATTATGTTGAGCGCATTAAAGAGAATCTTGACTCACGATAAATAATTTTATCTTGTTTTTATAAGGTAATTAAATTACGTCTATATATTATTTGTGTATTTTAATGATATTTACTCTATTTTTCAAAATGCATGAAAGACTACGAATTCAAGTTTCCACACAAAGAAGCAGCGAGAGATTGAAATCTTGCCAAATATTTATTATTGTATTATGGTTTACTCACATTGGATTATGTAATCTTTCACATTCGATTTGCCACAAAAGGAAGGAGAAACTAAAAAAGAAACAAAGAAAAAGAAGGGTCTTTGGCCATTAATACCAAATTATAATAAAATAATAAAGGACTCCTGAAACTCAATAAAAGGGTCAAATGTCGGTGAAATTTCTTTTTTTTTTTTTTTTTAATAATTCTACTTTTACCCATACAATTTTAAGTAATTATGAAAATGTCTCCACAAATTTTATCTTTTGTCCTTTCGCTTCTTTCCATCTCACTCACAAGTCACACATATAATGTTATCCCCGTGTCTTATTCGACCCTAATATACATGTAATAATGTATATGTATTTTGAAAAGTGATATTTTTGACGACTTTAAAACCAACAGAGATAAAATATGACATGATTATTCTAAATTTTCAACTTTAATAGACATCATTATTAATCTTTTTTGTTTTCATAAAATACGTCTATTTTTCCTTCCTTATTTTTCAGTTTTGTTCTCCATTTATGGTTGTATCTTTTTTCTTTTCTTTTTTTTCACATCAAGTTTCATGGTACTCAAATATAAGATTTTGATTTGTACAAAATCTACAACAAAAATTACAATATTCTTTTACAATTTTTCAATACTTTAAAAAAAAAAAAAATTAAATTTCTCTCCTTATTTTTGTTTCTGGAAGTCAATATATCATCAACTTTGATCATTAAAGCAATTAACAAATGCTTATCAAAGTAATTGATGTATATTAATGATCAAAGACACAATATTTTATATATAACGAGAAATAGACAATCTAATTATATATAAGAGATATATAAGTATCTCATGAGTTCTTACATAGATGCAGTATGATGTATATATATAATAGATGCATAATTTGATATTCACGATGATTGAAACTTTAATTGCCAACAAATATACTAAATTAAGATGAAACCTAAAAAAAAGGTTTACAACTTTCTAAATAGTTGATTACCTTTTATTTTAATGTGGGTCCAATTATATTTGACACATAAATAGCTACATAGAATCAATAAAATAGTTAATTTTTTATTTGTAGGGCTAAATAACAAGACTCATGTATTTTTATAAAAAATCTATATTCATGGAAGCTGTGCAAGTTCTAATATGGGAAGAAAAATCCTAATTACTTTATGAATGAGATGAAAAAAATACAATGTATGTTTATTAATTTATTTTACTTGTGACCTTACCATGGACTTCCACTGGGTAGAGATCGAAAGATATAAAATTTAGCATTTTTTTTCTTCTCTAAAATAACAAATTTGAAGACTTGTAATTTAAAGCCTTTTTTTTAAAAAAAATTTAACTTTTTAAGAGGGTAATTTTTTTATTTTTGTTATTATTATAGTTGTAGGAAATTAATTTTTAAATATACCCTTCAATGGTGGGTCCCCCTGCTTTTATAACTTTAAGGCATAGAGGGTAAATTAAAAATATTAAAAAATAATAAATTGAATTATGAAGTGGGACAATTATTTTGAGACAGCAAAAAATAAAAAAAGGTGGATATTTTTTTTTGTGGGAGGAGGGAGTGCTAAAAGAGACACCCTCAAGTCAACACTAAAAATTATAAAACTAAATACAAACGGAAAGAAAATTACATGTCCACCAAATTTTATTTTATTATTATTATTTTTTATTTGTAGAATGTGTATAGGCCCCATAACATACACACCATTTAAGTTAGGAGTGCGGTTCGAAATCTAAATTTCCAGAAGTTACCTCCCGGATCCCTACTAAAGCCCTTGAAAATATTCTCTATGTCTCAAGTATTTATGCACGTCCGTTTTGAAAACCTTGAATTTACCCTTTTGCATCAAGTGCACGTATCTCTCTCTAAATCATATTGTATTTTATTTATTTATTATTATTATTTTTTATTCTTTTTGTGCATCTAACAACTACCACATTTAACAAATCAAAACATTTTCAGTAATTTGTTAAAATAATTTTTTATGTAAAATATGCATGATCACGTATGATGTGTAATTTTTATTATTATTATTATTTTTTTATCATTATTAGTCTTTTAAGATTATGCCACATCACTGATGTTTAAAATTATTGTGTAAATAAAAATTACACATCATACGTGATCATGTTTACACAATCTTTTTACATAATTACATTAATATATATATTTTTTCTTCCTTCCTTCACATTTCATTATCGAATCAATCATATATTAAGTAAGTTTTTAAAAATTATTTAGAGTCCGTGTGACAAAGTAATGTCCAATTTAACAGGCTTCGAAATATTTACATATGTAATTATATGTAACCTATAGTTTTTATTTTTATATGTAACACACCAAAATTGTAAATAGCCTTCTTACCCTTCCGTCTTCATATCCATTTCGAAAGGATTCTTTCTCATTTAAACCCAGACCACTTTTCCGTAGCCAAGTCTCTCCATCGTGCTTAACGTTCTTAAGACTCTCTTTCTCTCTCCAGTCACCAATTCTCTCTCTAGACACCACCAATTCCTACTGCAACTCTCTCCTCTCTATTGATCGACAGCTCCTCCACCTCCACTGATGACTCTGATGACGCCTCCGCCATTAGATGTAATCACTTTTTCTCTCTACATCTCTCTCTCTCTATGCACACCTCTACTGTTATTACTTTCTCTTTGCTGTCCATCACTCTCTCTCTCTCTCTATCTCTACAAGTTATATCCAATTTTGATGTTCGAACCAATCGTATCGTTTCTGATTGAGATTAGTTTCTGAATTGATCTTCTGAATTGGGTTTTTTTTTTGGTCATATACTCAATTTTTAGGGTTTTTGATTGATCAACAGTGCTGAAATTTTTTCAGATCCACTTTCTCATTTTGGACTTTGTTTTTGCAGCAAGAGGACGACGAGATGCTCGTACCACATTCAGATTTTTCCGCTGACGGCCCACAACCCATGGAAGGTATTGCCTTTAATATAATTTTCATATATTAGGTTTAGTTCAGTTTCAATAGAACTAATTCACCAAAATTTTTGTAGATATAAGTGTGTAGTAGATTTGATTTGATTCTAGGGTTTTGAATTTTTTTTTTTAAAATTGTTTTTTGGAAATCATTGTCAGTTGCACCAGCAGAACCAGCTAATACAGTGGATGCTCAGTCAATTGATGATCCACCTTCAGCACGGTTCACATGGACAATTGAGAATTTTTCGAGGTTGAATACCAAGAAGTTATACTCTGAAGTTTTCTATGTTGGAGGATACAAATGGTAATTTTGATCTCTGCCCTCTTTCTAGATTTGGATTTTGATGGCTGTGGCTGATATTTAAGATTTTTTTGCTGCATTGTGTTGGGGAAAGGCGGGTGCTTATATTTCCTAAGGGGAACAACGTGGACCATTTGTCGATGTATCTAGATGTTGCGGATTCAGCAGCTCTGCCATATGGGTGGAGTAGATATGCGCAGTTCAGCTTATCCGTGGTCAATCAGCTTCATAACAAGTTCACAGTGAGGAAAGGTATGTTCTTTACGGCATTATTGGCATTATTGGATTTGCGTTCCTATTAAAAACTAAAATTAAACTGCATATAGTTTTATTCTTGGCTTATATATATATATATATCTATATATATATATATCTTGTTTATGTACACATAGGCTTATATGTAGCATGGACAATTATTCTTTATTTTTTGCAGCATTTGTACTTTTGTTGGTTTTATGTTACCACAGGCAATTCTAATCAGTGAATTTGGTTTTTTACATTAAGTTTTTAATATTTATAGTTTATAATCTTTCTGCATTCAGTTTCTATTCCATGTAGTACAATATCATCCTTCAGTAGGTTCCTATATTTCAAAGAATTCATTTCAGTTTAAAGAAACTTCGAATGTAATGTATGTATATACTATATATTCATCTATATATATACACGTAATACACATAGCATAGAAGAAATATGTGAAACTCAAGAGACGTGACATGACCTTGCTTTTCTATCATAAAGATGTAATGGTGTCTAAGCGAACTATGAATTTATTTATTTTTTTAATGGTCCCAATATGGAACTTACTTTACAGTGCGAAGGTGTTACTTCATGTATACGTAAAGGAAAATAATACGTAGTCTGAAAGTTGGACTAATCCAAATGTTTTATGTTAGTAGGGGATGATGCCATCATAATGGCTGGCATCATGATGACGTCATCTACCACTCGCATAAATGCAGTCGGATGCGTCCGACTTTCGGACGCTGTATCATGAGTCATGGGTTAATTGGATCTTTCTATTCTTGATGGTTTGGTTAGTGTTGCTTCGGTATTGAATGGTGTTTGGATGGAAATATCCAGTCGTATGTTATACTTTAAATATGCTTATCTAAACAAGCTATTGATAAGCAGAAAAATGCGAAACAGATATACTAATGGATAACAGTTCTCAGTTTGTAAATTTCTTATATTGGATAGCCGTATTTTTGTACAATCATTGTTACTAAAAGAAATTAATAAAATATAATGTTGATTTATAGAGTGACATTTTTTCTTTCTTCTCCTCAATTATAGTATTACTTATTGAAGGAAGCCTTTTCCTTATTTTTTTTCTTCTCTTGTGATAAGTAATACGTTTTTCTTATTTCCTTTGTTCACATTTCGGATCAATAGAATTCATTTATTGTAAAAATTAATGATATGAAGTTCGTAACAAACAAGAAGAAAATTCAATCTTATTAGATTTTGAAAATAATCATACTCGTTGGATCCGAATTATATATATATATATATATATTCCACGTGTGTGTATATTATAACTTTGGGTTCATATTGAATCTCTCTCATATATAGATGTACACTAGCGTTGTCACTCTCTCGTTATATTTTGATGCATCTTAGTGTCATAATCTTTTATTTGTCTGTCTATTTTGAGTGTTCTATAGCTCTTTATAGACGTTAAGGTCTACAATTGCTATATTTACAAGATTGTAGAGGTTTGATTATTTTAATTTCCCAAGCAGTGATCCACAAATGGGTGGTAGATGACGACTGCTTCTGGTGCTAGGCATTACAATAGTTCTAATAATTTTATAAGATGATGGCTGATAATGTTTCCATCACGTGCAATTCTTTCTTCATCCCTGCGTAACACAAATCATTGTAACCTATGTGTTCAAGAGAATTGCATGGCTATAAACAGTAGTTTCCAATTGTACATATTTCTGTAGGGTCATCTTTCATTTGTCACCCCCACCACCACCACCACAACACACACACACATTGAAACTAAACGAGCTTGTATGTGGATGGTTGTCTTGTAAAAGCTGCTTGGGATGTTTAAGTGAATCAAAATCAATTGGTTCAGCTTCTCTCTCTTTCTTTCTTTGAAACCCTTTTTTCTCTTTATAATTCTTTTGTTTTACTTTAAAATGGATCCTTAGTTACATTTCTGCTTCCCCATTTTTAGTTTTAATTTTTACCCATACTGAATTTTTATTTTTATCGTATCTTTTCCCCTTAATTTTTTGTTTGTTTGTTATGACGTATAAACTTAAGCATATTTTTAAGGAAATGGACCTCTTAAATTTTTAGTGAAATAAATAGTGACGAGTTTTATAATTTTTTTGTCCCAACCAGTATGACAGACATATACACAATACACAGAGATAACCTGGAAATACCTTACCTTACCTTATCTTAATGAAGTTGGACATGGAAATGATGAAAGCCACAACAACAAAGAAATTTATTTCTAGTATATATTATATACGCTAACCATCATGTCTGATCTCATTTTATTTCACATATAGGTTTTAACACTCAATAATTACCAATCGTGTATATATATATATATAACAAAACATTACTTCATGATGGGTAAATCTAATATTGTACAACTGTAACATAAAATTTGTTACTTATGGGTCACAATATTCAATAATCAACCATGTTGCATCGACAAAATCATAGCAAGAATAAGGCAAAAATGTGTATATGCCTCGGTACATTTAAATATGCATTTTTATATGGTACACACATAATTGTACCAGATTTATTAATCTCTTATGCAATGCCAGAAGTGTGGAACTTGGATAAGCTTTAATTGGGGAAGATATGGTGAATTCATTTTTCTTTCCTCATGATTATGTAGGATTGACTAAGTAGTTGAATATGGTGAATGTCACATTAGTAATTAAAGGTTATATACTAAATAATTAATACATCAGCATATTAAATGATCTTTAAAAGTTCAACATAATTTTAATCTAAAATAATTAATACATCAAATTTATGGGAAGATGAGTATCCATATGATTTGGTGAGAGTTGCTTGAGTATCCATAAGTACTGGAAAGATGCTCGTGATTCCTAAGTAACGAAAAGGACGCCCACTCTTCATGGCTAAGTAAGGATGCAAAAGGAGGAGGGGAATTAAGTCAGAATAAGGCATCTGTTTTTATAGTTAATTACCTGCCACTTAGACAGATAGCAAGATTCTCAATCCTGCAGTCTTTTTTCACAAGTTCTTTTTATGTATTTAATGCATAAATTTTGTGATTAAATGCAATCACATGTTGAATGGCATGAAAATGCGTTCTTAAATATAGAATTTACCCAAATGTAACGTATATAAGAATCAAGACTGAATTTATTGATGCATTGCACTGTAGTCAGTAGTCACTGGATGGTGAGATATCATATGTTTTCAATCTCGGTGCAAAGGAAGTAAATACTAAATATACTTGGGGAAGACATTTTGTTTTTTGGTTATGTTTTTGTTTTTTCTGTTTCAAGAATCTGTTTATTTTGTCTATGACATGGTCCTCGCAGTTTCTAGAAGTTGAGTTTTCTTCTATTATTCTTTTTCCTTCTACAAGAAGGTGTAGATTAGGGCTATTTATTGAAAACACACCATTTGTTTGGAGCTGGATAGTGTAAAATTGAAATTATGTTCTTCTCGTTCTCAATGCAGTGCATTGTAGTCCCTGGATGGTGATTATTCTTGTAGTGGTTCAAGGGAAAAGTATCAATTGCACCACCCCCAAAACATCCCACCCCCCCCCCCCCCCCCCGCGCCGCACCGCGCGCACGCCCAAAATAAAATAAAATAAAATTTAGGGTAAAGTGCAAAAACCCTCCCTGAACTATCACCCATTTGCAAATAACCCTTCTACGAAAAACCTCCTTGACCTGTGATGAATATACAAATAAGGACACACTGTCAATGGCGAATATCACCCATTTTTTTTTTCTTTTCAAAACTCTATTTATGGTTATTAATGGCGATTTTTTTTTTACTGGAAAACTGACACTGGCCCCTCCATTTTTTAAAAAATCCTATTTATGGTCACCTATTTATGATTATTAAAGGTGGTTTGCAAAAGAAATTACTTTTGGCTCCTTCAAAGTCCAATAAACCCTTTTTATTCTTGAAAAATTAATAAGCTGGTCCCTTCAATTTCGGGAAAAAAAGTTGGCCCCTGCAAAGTTTTATCTCCAATCTTAAATTCAAAATCTTTTCTAATCCTTTCCTTAGCACTCCACTTTCAAAACCATAGCTCTACTAGTCTGTATGTTTTATATACTGAAAATATAGGTGTGTTCCTAGGTGTTGAGGTCCACTGCACTTCTAGTTGTAGACTATAACCTTTGACCTATGTGTTATATTTGCCGATAGTTGTGACTTTTTTCATTATGCAGACACTCAACACCAGTTCAATGCCCGAGAAAGTGATTGGGGTTTCACTTCATTCATGCCTCTTAGTGAACTGTATGACCCTGGTAGAGGTTATCTTGTTAATGATACATGCGTAGTTGAAGCTGATGTTGCCGTCCGTAGAGTTGTTGATTACTGGGCGCATGACTCAAAAAAAGAGACTGGCTATGTTGGACTTAAAAACCAGGGAGCGACTTGTTATATGAATTCTCTCCTCCAGACACTGTACCATATTCCTTATTTCAGAAAGGTTATCAAAATCTCTAAGCTTGTCTTGTTGATATTAAATTTCGATGAGCTGTCCTATCTGAACCGTGTATTTCACAGGCTGTGTATCATATGCCGACAACTGAGAATGATATGCCATCAGGGAGCATCCCTCTGGCTTTGCAGAGTTTATTCTATAAGCTCCAATATAGTGATACTAGTGTTGCAACAAAAGAGTTGACGAAGTCTTTTGGATGGGACACATATGATTCTTTCATGCAGCATGATGTGCAAGAACTTAATAGGGTTCTTTGTGAAAAGCTTGAAGATAAAATGAAGGTACAGGGTTTTATGTACCATGTATAAGGATTTATTGCTTCAACTAAAAGTTAGAAGGTTATTGTGCTTGAATGTGGCTTTACTGGCTCAGGGAACCGTTGTGGAGGGTACAATACAGCAGTTATTTGAAGGGCACCATATGAATTATATTGAATGCATCAATGTGGACTACAAATCAACAAGAAAGGAATCGTTTTATGGTACTTGTTTTAGATCACATAAACATTACTATGCTATCTGAGATGGATTTTGGGGGCCTTACTGACTTGTTTGTATATTTGAGCATAGATCTTCAGCTTGATGTCAAAGGCTGTCGGGATGTTTATGCTTCTTTCGACAAGTACGTTGAGGTGGAACACCTTGAGGGTGATAATAAATACCATGCTGAACAACATGGATTACAGGTGGGCTCTTCTCTTTGAACCTAGTTACTTGAATTGCCAAATTTAGATAGTTTCCAATTCAACGTTACCTATATCAACCATTCAATACAGTATGTGCACAAAGCTTTATGTTCTTAACTAAGTTGATATAAGATTTTTTGTTTCAGGTGATTCATTTTGTCACCGTCATTCCTGAGTAGTTTTTACACAGTAATGTGAACGTTTAAAAGAAATGCTGTAATTTTGAATTTTTCAGGACGCTAGGAAGGGTGTTCTATTCATTGACTTTCCCCCTGTTCTTCAACTTCAGTTAAAACGGTTTGAGTATGATTTTATGCGGGATACCATGGTAAAGGTTAGTAATTGAATCATTCGAACTTTGGCTTTATGATATCCATGTCCATTATCCTGGTGGAATTTGGATATGCATTGCTTTGCTCAATTTGATGAGATAGGTGCTGTTCAGGATATGTTTGTTAGAATATTTGCTAGAGAAAACTATTGGTCCTTCGAGTCTACAGTATGCAACTCCAAAACGCTCTGCTTTGTGTGTTTTCTCTTTCTTATGCACAAAATGTATTTTTATAAGAAAATTATGATTCATTTGGTCATATCTGGTAAATATAACAAGATAACAGAAAATATACTGCCCCAACTTATACATACAATATTGCAAAAGAAGGCTTGAAAATACCATTTGCTGGGTACTTCATCTGTCGAAGTCTTTGTAGCTTCATATTTTCCTTGAGTGAAGGTGTTTGTTTATTTTATGTTCTGTACAAGGCTTTGAGGATCAAAAACTTGTTTAGTCTGGGATATTTTTTTTTAACTTATGCATTATTCATGTTGGTTATGGAGCATGTTGATATGCAAATCACTTTTCATTTGCTTCAATGTTTCCTTGGTGGTGTTACCCCTTTTTCTTTATATATTTGATATTTTTCCATATTTCTTTGCGAGCTTTGCTGATATATATCATGTTCAGGAAGCAAGCAGTATTTTAGTTTCTTATGTCTTGTTGCCTCACCTGAAGTCCTAAATAATAGGGAAATGATTAGGGGAAGGAATATGGGAATTGGTGGTGCAAGTTTGTTTCTGAAAAAAGCTCTTCAAGCTGTGAAAAGTTTAGATTGTTGGGTAATGTTGTCAGTTCTTGTCTTCAGAATGAATGAAAACAGAAACATGTTTCTGCTTTTTGGTTGGTGAATCTGTTGACAAAGGACTGGAGACAAAAACAGTAAAGTCCTAAAACTTAAAAATCCTTTGGGTCTTTGACTATTGATTGTAAATCCTTGATTGGTTCACTTGTTTTTCCTGAGCAAGGGGCTGGTTGTTGTCTGAATTGCATGAATTTCAAGAATTCTAAAATAGATCATCTTCAAACTGTAAAATTTGAAGTTCAAGCCTTTTCTTGGCAAACATTAATCTTCTTACCAAATTTCTGAATGCCTTCAATACATAAAATATAAACTGTGGTAAGATTTCAAATTGACAATTGGCTTCCATCAGAAGCTGTTTGTTCCGAGGACAAAAGCAAAGAAAATTATATCTTGCATTTTCTGGATTCAGTGGTTTCTTATGCCAGCTTCAGCGTGCATGGAGCACTGACGCATCTTATGCTGGCCTGAGTTGGGATTAGGGTCTAGGGTTCTCCTTGAACTTGGTGTGAATCCATGTTGTACCTTGTATTGTGAGTTCCTAGGGGTTTTTTGTTTTCGAAACTGAAGCTTAGGGTTAGTTGAGGTTTCTTCTTGATTTTTACAGTTAGCTTGCTTTGAAGAATGAAAAACTATGCGTTTTTTTATATATTTTCTGAATGACGTGGCAACATGCCACTGGACAATGACAAGGATCCTACTTTTTAAAGGCTCAAGGTGCACCGAGGCACTAAAGGTCTTTTGGAGCCTAAATGCAAGGCACATATAAGGCGTGAGCCTGATCGAAGTTGGGTGTGTGTTTGATAGTTATGCATATTAATTATAAGTATATAAAGAATAATAAAACTATGCAACACAAACATGTCAAAGGGCAAAATAAGAATTTTTTTCACCATGTTAAGTCAATGGATTAGCTAAATCAACTTACATATATATTTTCTATTTACATATGAATTCAATTAAATCAATATACAATTGGAACAATTCAAGATATGCAATAAGAAAAAATTCTATAAAAATGGGATTTTTGATATATCAACTAAGAGGATTAGGTAAATTAATGCAAATAATTCCTATCATATGCATATGCATTAACCAAATTAAATGTGATTACAAATCTGAAACATTTTAAAACTATAATCATGCAAACTTTAAACATATATTATCATAAATATTTAGAATCAAACACTAAACACAATTAATGCAAGTATTGGACCATATAATAAATAATTCTCTAAAAATGCAAGTTTTAATTTATAAACTAAGAGGATTAGGTAAATTAATGCAAATAAATCCTTTCATATGTTTATGCATTAACCAAATTAAATGTGATTACAAATCTGAAACAATTTAAAACTATAATCATGCAAACTTTTGACATGTATTATCATAAATATTTAGAATCAAACACTAAACACAATTAATGCAACTAGTGAACTGTAAAATTTATAAATTTTGTCAAATATTTCATAAGGTTTAACAACATGATCCGTTACATTGGATCATAGAACATTCTAACTTAATAATCATTAAATAAAAAAGAAAATAATATGAATAAATATTAAAAAATCAAAAGGCGCTCTTTTTTTTGACATGTTACCTACCAAAAACACTAGCCCGAGGGTTTTATGTGAGCTTGATTGAAGGAGCCTTGCCTGTACCAGGTTGACGCGCTCTGGCTGAGCCTTGACGAGCCTGGGGTTTTTTTGGAGCCTAGGTGTGCCTTTAACAACTATGACAATGATACATTATAGTGTTGCATTAGGTGGCGATAGTGACATGTTAACATATTATTAAACTGCACTATTAACATGTGGCAATCTCTACTTATCAAAAAAAGAAAAACATGTGGCAATCTCTGATTGGATACATCTGTTGCTGACCATGTGTAAATTTTCATGTAAAAAACATTGACCACCATCATTTTCCTGGATAGTGATCACACATCAAGGCACTTGCAGCTTTTTCTCGAAAGTAAAAACACTTAAATTTTTGCTTTACTTTCTTATTGCCACCCTCTCGTAACATCGCCTTAGCGAAGTCCCCCTAAAATTTCCACAACCTTAAGTGTTATATATCACCCATATTAGAGGTTTATGTGTCATAGAAGGTTTTTTTTTTTGATAAGCTTTTGTGTCGTAGAAGTTTGAATGATAGAGGGCATAAACCATGAACAATGATTAGGGTACTTAAATCAATTCAAAGTATTATACCACCAGATTTTAGCTTAAGTGGTATCTCTAGGCCACTTTCAAAGAGCCGGTGCAACATTTAAGTCCAATAGAGAGACGGGCGTGTATTTTACTTAGAAAAGAAAATAATCAATACAGCGTATGATATTATTGTTTCTTAGTTGGAGTTATTTTTTTGTTTGATGAAATCATTTTTTTGGTATTGAGAATGTTCATATGCGGCTGAAGAAGATTATCTGTAGCACATAACAAAATTGGATGAGTTCATATATATATATATATATATATATATATTTTTTTTTTGATAAGTAAGGTTGTATTAGAAAGCGTTTAAAAAGAAAGAAGAAAAGAGAAATTAAGAAAAATAAAACAAATTAGAGGAAATTTTTGAAGTTGTGAACCATACCGTTGAAATTCAGAGTTGGATCGTCTCTACATTTGACTTTGGGTCTTGAAATTATTTTTTTTAAAAAATGTAATTAGGCTAAAGAGTTGGACATTATATTTAAAATGATTAAATTTATTTGTCCAAAATGAATTGCAGGCTCAAATAAGTCCAGACGAAGAACAAAATAACACAATATAGTAGAATCGATAGATCCCTATGCAATTCTACGATCCTACTTCGGATTTTACAGTTGCTACTAAGATTGTACTTCCCAGCAATTTTTAAATTTTTTTTTTTTTGATAGATCTTCTTCCCAGCGATTTTGGATGGGATTGGGATCAGTTTGGCAATTTGGGATCGTAAAATCTTCAGATTCTAGGATCCGAATCAGGATTTTTACAACTATGCTCTTCCCCTCATGGATTTACAATTTTGTCCCAAGAACCCAACAAAAAAGAAAAGAAAAAAGAGAACTAATAATAGAGAACTTCAGCGCCTCAATAAGACTCTCCTCACCATCAAAGGATCTTCTTTTCCGTTCCTTCCACAAGCACCGCCACTTATCTGATCACCGAAATATGTTTTAGAATGTCAATCGTGTATCTCTCTTAAGCTATGTTACATGGACTCGAGTACGCGTATCGGGTGTGGGTATGTATCAAACGTCGGACATGCCAAATCGCCAAACTAAAGGACATAGAGACACAACTAAATATTCATACTATTCAATATATTTATTTATTTTCTGGAGCAAAATAATGTCTAGTGGTCAAAATAGGCATTTCACTCATTTTGAAACAATAATATAACAAAATTGAAAGATTTAATTTGTTTTTTAGGGGCATGTCCATTCAAAAGTGTCTAGACACATATTGCATACCCATGTTCGAGTATAGTGTGCCCGACATGGGGACTCCACCTCCTATTGCAGAGTCCGTGTAACCTAGATTTTAAGAGGGGATTTGACAAGTCTTTTGCCAGATACAGATCTTCACCTTATATATTGCGTCAAACCAATACTGCCATACTTTTATTAGACAAGAAACTTAATATCTATATTCAGCTGCCATGGGATAGTTTCTTTGTTGTAATCAATCAATATAAGTTTTTTCTACCATGCTCCCCATAAAAAAAAAGGAGAGAGAACCCAACCCAAACCTAACAGTAAAGAAAATTTGTATTAATGCGAGTCATATTTTCTTTTTATTTTTTATTTTACTTCTGTATCCAATAATGTTTTTTTTTGTTTTTTGGTTTTTGTACTGCCTTTTTAGTGCTTTTTTTGTGACACAGGCGTTCAAGACCCTGAATTTTAATTGATCAGCTGTTTCTATCTGTTATTTATAGTTCAGATTATCTGCTCGATTTTTAGATTCAAATATCTCAATGATAAGAATATTCGATGATCTCAATCTCTCTGACTTATTTTTGCCACTGTAGGATTTCTTGGATTTTTTCTTATGGGGAATATTCATGCTAACTTTTTTGTCTCAAATTTGTAATTTTCTGCCTCATCGGGCTTATTTCTGATTTTTCTTTTTCCACTGATCAATCAGATAAATGATCGCTATGAATTCCCTTTGCAACTTGATCTTGATAGAGAGAATGGCAAATATTTATCACCCGAGGCAGATAGGAGTGTCCGCAACTTGTACACACTTCATAGGTATTTGTGATCTCAGTGTACTTCCTTCTGATGGTTGTCTTTCCATGGATTGTATAACTCCATGCATAGCTTTACTCCTTCGTTAGGCGAAATGTCGGCTTTATTTGGCCAAATTCACTTGGGAATGTGAGTTGACTCGGCTAGACAATCTACCTACCTTTACTATCATACTCTCTCTTTCCATTTTCTTTTCAATTAATGGTTGACTTAAACAATTGATGTGCTGTGCACTGGCCAAATAGCAAAGTTTGTGCAGCTATTTTTATTTTATAACAAAATAGATACTTTTCATTTATCATAACTCAGAATAGAAGGGAAACATGGATTATCAATTAGAGTTCTGCAGTTCTCTAGTTTGCTCCCTATCCTCTTTTCCATGAAAGACTTGATTTTCCTAAATGAAGCAAATATTTTGTTTTTTTTCCTGAGGGATGCTACTCTTGAGGAAATAGGCTGGATTTACACCATCAGGTCGTCAACTATGCATTTACTTCTGTGATATAGCATTCTGGCATTATAAATAGCCGTCTTATTTTCTCTTCCCGTCAATGTGAATATGGATGTTATATGTTCATTTAATGTTATATGTTTGTTTCAATCATTAGATGGATGGTTTTCATCCCATACCCTTTTTTATAACTGTTGTCCTTGAAACCTTCTCTTGATTGTTGACTTTAATAGTTTTTTTATTTATTAATTTTCTTTTCAGTAGGACTCTCTTTGTTGTGCTATTATTAGTGGTTTTCTCTTATTAAGGTATTGCATGCACAAAAAGATAGATTTCACACCTCAAGGCTCAAGTACAATTTTAGACTTCCATAATGTTGTTCATTATATCTCACTGTTTACTATTGGTAGCTCATTGATGCTCTTTGCACCGATATTATTGTAATGCATTATTGTTTGTTTACAGTGTTTTGGTTCACAGTGGTGGGGTGCATGGTGGACATTATTATGCTTATATAAGGCCGATCCTTTCTGATCAGTGGTATGCATTTTGTTTTTACCAGCTGTCAGTGTAAACATTTATTTTTATACTCTTCTATTTCAAATTGTTGTTTTCTTCTGCCTTAGCTGTTTAATGTTGCTCATCTAAGCTTTAGAAGGCAAGCTGTAATGTAGGTTCTGTGTTTGGGCACCTCTTCCAATGCGGCTGCATTATTTCCTTGCTATTTTTTTCCTTTCTAATAATTCTCTATACTTTTTACCATTCTTCAAGGTTCTTTTCATGACTGCTATACTCCTACTTTTTGTTGTCCCATGTTCCCACGTGTGCAGTTTGTGAGGTTGAACATGTTTTTTTTTTTTGGACTCGTTTTGATGCACTTGTGCTTTAGCAGCTTTTACTCATTGTGATTTTTCATCGCATTTTAGTGTTATAATGCATCATATTTTTTGGTCGTGTTCATTCTGTTAATCATCATATTCACTGGAGGTAGCTGCTTTTAGGTTTAAATTTGATGATGAACGGGTAACAAAAGAAGATGTGAAGAGGGCATTGGAGGAGCAGTATGGTGGTGAGGAAGAGGTAAGTTATTCTACAAGTTAGTATTATGATAAATCTACTTCAATATAACTAATATCTTTTTGGTTAATGCTTATTTGCAACAGTTACCACAGACAAACCCTGGGTTCAATAACTCTCCATTTAAATTTACAAAATATTCAAATGCATACATGCTTGTGTATATACGTGAAAGTGACAAGGAGAAGATAATTTGTAATGTGGATGAAAAGGACATAGCGGAGCACCTTAGGGTAAATTGTTTGATTTCATCTTTGTTGTTTTAGTTCTTGATGTCCTCTTATATAAATTATGTTGAATCTCTGAATAATCATATTCCAGATAAGGTTGAAGAAAGAACAAGAAGAAAAGGAGCAAAAAAGAAAGGAAAAAGCAGAGGCGCATCTTTACACAATTATAAAGGTTTCAACTTTCTGATTTTTTCATGATATTCATTGTTGTTCATTAATTTTGGATCCATGGTTTTTTATTGTTCACTAGATCAGTTAAGTTTCGCCTTTAGGTCGCTCGTGATGAGGATCTTCTTGAGCAGATTGGAAGGGATATATATTTTGATCTTGTGGATCATGACAAAGTGCGCAGTTTCCGCATTCAGAAACAAATGCCTTTTAACCTTTTCAAGGTATCAGTTATTATTTTGTTTTGTGATTGAATTTGCATAGATTTTGAACTTTTGTTTAGTTAAAGCATGCGAGTGCCGGCCTTGGCGCACCGTTTGGTTGCTCCATTGTGATCTAGTTGTCACTGGTTTGACATAGGAAATAGCCTTTCTGCATGTGGAGGTTAGGCTGTATGCATCTGGCTTTCCCTAGACCCTGCAATGGTGGGAGCCTCGTGCACTGGGGGTTAGCCCATTTTTTTTATTAGCTAAAGCATGCCAGTTTTTGTGTGTGTGTGTTTGTGTGTGGGTGTGCTTTTAACTTTGTTTGCATGTAAATGTATATATTTTCCAGTTACGATAATTTAACTTTGGAAGGTTTATATTTGTGAAAACTTGCGGAGTTCCTTCTTTTGGGAAAATGTACTGCATTTGGTTTTGGTACTTTGCATTCATCATGTCAGTGAAATTTAAATAATTTGCTGATGATATGGATCAACAATTGTTGTTTAGTGGTCAAATTTTTTCTCCTCCTTTTTGATTGAATGGCTCCTGTTATGCCAGTGCACTTTGACCCAGTACAAAGTGAACTTTCAAGTATTTATTTGAGTTCCATAATTTTTTCTTGATTTCAGGGACTTGTATAAACATCTATTCATTTACCATGCATGGTTACTGACCAATGTTTTCTTATTTTTTTACTATAAACATAGCGACTCTTTATCATTGCCATCATTAAAATTTATTCGGGAGAAACACTGCCTTCTTCTACATCTAGTGGTTGCCAATTAGGAATCTTAGATTTACCTCAGGTAGAGTTCTTCATTTGATAAGAGTTAAAGTTGAAGGCTCGTGTTTGTAGAAATTTAGAAGAAGAGGAATGTATGAGGTAGAAGAGAAATCTGTGAAGGATGAGAGTGAATTAGGGGATTCCCACACCTCTCACCTATTTAAATATTGAGAAGATAAAATTACCGTAGTGCCCTTACTGAATAAAAGAAATAACAAACCCTCTAACAGATACTGTTATCATGAAACTTAATATCACTGATACTTGCATTTGTTAATGGTGTATAATAGACTGATCATTAATTTTATTTCCAGGAGGAAGTTGCAAAAGATTTTGGTATACCAGTGCAATTTCAACGTTTCTGGCTGTGGGCAAAACGCCAAAACCATACATACCGTCCAAATCGGCCCTTGACGCCTCAAGAAGAAGCTCAATCTGTAAATACATTTCGAGACTGCATTTTTCTTTGTTGTCACATTATCCACCATTATATGTCTACTACGGTTATGTCAGTTCTTTATAACATGATTTACATTTGATCTTCTTTCGTAGTTTGTGTTTTTGAATTTTGCTTATCATTCATTATTATCTGGTCTATTAAATGAACTCGTGACATTCTTGAGTTATAATTTTTCAATGGAATAGCTTTATTGCGCTTAAGTCCAGTTAATATTAGTTATTGAATGACTCAAGTTCTGTTCTTGAATATTTGCGCTTAATTTATGGTGCAACAAGTTTAAATTTTGTTTCTTTTGCTCAGCAATTGAGTTCTGATGTCCTGTAATCCACTGAGCTAATATTTTCTAAAAAGTAGTAAAAATTAAGTAGCTGAATGGAAGTAATTTGTTGCTCTTTCTAAGCTAGAAATTACAGATCTTGTCATGTAATTTCCTCGGAGACTTGTTCTTCCTCTGTATGCACATTGTCTTGGTCATAACTTGTTCATTGACTTGGAAAGTTTGAGCCATAACTCAATAAGTTGCCTGTGGAATTTTTTAAAAAGTCAACATTTAGCTGAATTGTCTTAGATATTGAAACATTGAACTTGAATTATTATTATTATTTTTTTCATAAGTAAAACATTGAACTTGAATTATTCAATATACGTTACGTTTTGACTCTATATTAACCAATTGTTGTTGGTCTCTTTGCGGTCATGTAAAGACTGTAGAGTGCATTGTGTCAATCATTATGCCTACTCAAGCTCTCAGTGTAGGATAATAGTTAGACTTCTTATCCAGCTAGGCTTTATTTTGATTAATAGTCTAGATCTCCACAAATCAATCAGCTTCTAGTTGGATGAGTTCCTCAGGGAAATACGAAGTTCTCTCTCTCTCTCTGGTAAATGAAGCTGCTTATATGTTTTGAATTGTAAATCTGATATTATCTCTATCATTTTGTGTTTAGCAATTTCTTTTATCTGGTTTGAATGGTAACATGTCTGTGATGAGTTTTGTTGAACTTGTCTGTGATGATTCTAAATGTTTGATATTATGGTATGGCTTGTAATATCACGTTAACCCTTCTAGGTTGGGCAACTGAGAGAAGTATCCAATAAGGCAAATAATGCAGAGCTGAAGTTATTTTTGGAGGTAGAACTTGGGCAGGTAATGCTTTATTAATTCGATAATATTATTTCCCATCTGGTTGTTTTGAAATTGATTTTGATGGAATTTTATGTGATTAAGTCATGTTGGTTTTTACTTCTGACATTCTGGTATATAAGTGGAGCTTCAGTTCTGTACTTTACAGTCTTTACTTGTTTGTATAATCATCCAGGATTTGCGGCCAGTTCCTCCACCTGTGAAGACAAAAGAAGAGATTCTTTTCTTCTTCAAACTTTATGACCCTTTGAAAGAGGAGCTCCGGTACTTACTATTTCTTTCTTTCCTTGGTTTGGAATTTTATGTGATCACTCAGGCTCTTTTCCTTGTTGTCAGGTATGTTGGGCGTCTTTTTTTGAAGGGTAGTGGCAAGCCAGTAGAAATTTTAACAAAGCTAAATGAATTGGCTGGTTTTGCTCCTGATGAAGAAATTGATCTCTATGAAGTCAGTCTTCCCATGCTTTATAGTTTTATAATGATTCTTTAGCTTCCTTGTCTGCCAAATTGTTGCCGATACACTTTTCTTATCGTACTATTTAATATTCAGGAAATAAAGTTTGAACCTAATGTTATGTGTGAACACATTGACAAGAAGGTCCCTTTTCGTGCTAGCCAGGTAAGATATTCATTATGTCCTATTGGTCTTCTGGTTGTTTATTGTTTTGTCACCACTTGTTATTATATCTTTTTATTTGGTCCATTATATCCTATCCTTGACTGGTTGCATGGTATATTTGACTCAATTCTGTTTTCCTTTCTCCCTTTATTGCAGCTTGAAGATGGTGACATCATTTGCTTTCAGAAATCCCCTCAAGTTGAAAGTAGTGAACAATGCCGTTATCCTGATGTTCCTTCGTTTTTGGAGTATGTGCATAATCGACAGGTATTCCGTGAATCTTCTCAATATTCAAAACTTTTATGCTACCTAACATAGCAATCTCAACTTTTATTTCTACATTATTATGGATTGATTGGGGTGTAGATGGGTAACAAACTGTCTGATTACATGATGTATTAATTGGTCTTTGTAATATTTGGTGGAAATAAAAGTTTTGGGTCCTTACCAACACGCCAGTGGCCTAGCGGTATCAGGCCCTTACTTCCGAAAGGGAGGTCAGGGGTTCAAGCCTTAGTGGAGGCATGTGTGTGTGAGTATCAATTAAGGAAAAAAAAAGTTTTGGGTCCTTAATTTAAAGAGTTGTTTAAATTTGGTTTTGTATTGACTACTTGATGGGTAATCGACTGATAACTGATATAAAACATCCTTTCTTCATATTTTCCTAGATTAGCAACCTATTTTTTTTTAAAAAAAAAATTAAAATTTAGAGAAGTGAATAAAATAATAAATATTTTCTTTCAACTTTGAGTTCATAACTTCTATGCACTGTCATATTTTCCAAGTATCTTTGTAAAGGCCTTTACCCTGTGTGTTACCTGTTAATTGAGGATGCTGTCCAGTTATATCAGTGTGATTTTAGATTTTGAATGTGCTATTTGTAAACTTAAAATCAATATGGTGTCTGAGGGATTTAATTTGGTTGAGCATTGTACTATATGAATATGCTACTATTGAATTAATTTTTTAGGATGCTTTGCTCCACGTGTTGTCTTCCCTCAAATCAAGTATTTATCTTGTTGAATACTTAATTGCTATGATATTGGGTATTTATGGTTTCGGTTCTGGGTTCACAGATCTTAGATCTTTGATTACAGCCCATAGGAATCTATAAAGTAGGGTTCAGTTTTGAATTTGTGTAATGTTTGTCTGCATGTGTTGGAAACAGAATTGAAACTGAAATGTTGACACCCTATGGTTGATGGTTGCCTGGTGTTTGTTTTGATCTGTGGCATATATGTCCAAATTATTGATCTCTGGACATCAGGCGTGCCGTCTTTGTTTAAATATAAATTAGAGGACCAATCTGACAATTCATTAGGTTTGATAAATGTGCTGGAATCCTTTACATGACACCAATCAATATGGTAGGAACATATGTAATCTTTTCTTTGCCATGGCACTTTGGAGCATTAAGTGGTAAACAATGCATAACAATCAATATCTTCTAGATTCTTCTCTTTACTTATCTTTTCAGTCTGAACTTTTTGTCATTCCTAAAACTATGCTGTTCTGGTAATGAATTGTGTTTATTTATTTATTTATCATTTTTTCTTACTTCATTCATTATTATATATATACGCACATGTACATATTGGTGTGCTTTTGGTTCCATCACACTACAAAGAGGGCCAAATTATTATTTTTTCCCTCTCTTCTCTATCTACCAATCCTTGAACCCCTGATCTAAGGTTGACCACATAAGCCAAAGAGGCCAGAAGAGGGCCAATTTAGGTCAAACAGAGGCTAACAGTCTGATCCTGCCAGCTTCCATAGATTTTATCAATAGGATCATGCAGTTCTTAATTTTGTTCGTTTTAGGTTTCTGAAGTTCATGCAAAAATTGTACATCTTATTTTTATTTTTTTGGTGCTTGCTTTTAAATTTAGGACTGAGATGTTATAAATGCCATTGAATCAGCTTTTTGAAAATAATTCTCCAGTACGCTCATTTCTGTCAGTGTTAAGCATTTCAAATTACTTGATGTTTCATAGGTTGTTCGCTTCCGTTATCTGGAGAAACCTAAGGAGGATGAGTTCTCTCTTGAGTTGTAAGTTCTTCCAGTACAAACTTTTTTATCAACCAGCCATCTAGCTGGTGGGAATATTTGATTAAATTTATAATTTTGTATTTTTCTATTTTTTTGTGTGTTTTCCTAGGTCAAAGCTTCACAATTATGATGATGTTGTGGAAAGAATAGCCCGGCATCTTGACTTAGATGATCCATCTAAAATCAGGCTTACATCTCATAACTGCTACTCCCAACAACCTAAGCCCCAGCCAATCAAGTATCGAGGTGCGGAACATCTGTCAGACATGCTTGTCCACTACAATCAGGTTGTTCATTGCATGGGTGTTACACTGACCAAGACTTGTTCTTCTACTTTTGTACTTTGAACAACAACTGCATTCTGACAACTGAGTTTTTCCCCTCTTTATAGACTTCGGATATTTTATATTATGAAGTATTAGATATTCCTCTGCCCGAACTGCAAGGTCTGAAAACTCTGAAAGTTGCTTTTCATCATTCTACCAAGGATGAGGTGAGTGTCATTGGCTGTAGCAGTCAATTCTCTAATCGAGTGCTTAGTTTTTATTTTTTTTCATCTCATTTAATCTATTTTAACTGTTTTCAGGTAGTGATTCATACTATTAGATTGCCAAAACAAAGCACTGTTGGAGATGTTATTAATGACCTTAAGACGAAGGTAAATCTTGCAACTTTTTTTTGCTTTCGAAATGGATGAAATTTAGCATTCATTCATGGAATTTCGAATTCATTTTTCTCACCTCATTAGATTTATAATTTTGATAGTTAGTTTGATAATTTTGCACTACTTTATTATTCATATCTCGAGTCAAAAAATTATATTTAGGTGCGCTTTAGAAAAGAAATCTACTCATTTATATTCCGTATCATGGATTAGGTTGAGTTGTCCCATCCAAATGCCGAACTTAGACTGCTCGAAGTATTCTATCACAAGATCTACAAGGTATTTTGCTTACAACCAAGTTATTGTTATGCCTTCTTAAATTAATGTGGTGAGAGTTAATGAAATGAATGCAGCTTGATGGTAGTGTTTTTGTGCGCGCGCGCGCGCGCTTATGTTGTTCCTTTCTGTATTTGTTAGATCTTTCATTTTTCCTTTTTGGATGATTTTTATCACTTGAAGCATATTTTATTTAGTCTCGATGAAGCAAACTTTGTAGGAAATGTAGTACCATTTCTGATATTTTCATACTTTTTCCAACGCTGTTTCAAAAGCTTGTGTAAAAGTTGAGTACTTACCAATTTGATTTCCCACTTTTGCAAGTTTCTTTTGAAATTTTTATTTTGCTATTGCCTCAAGGTAATAATGAACATTATGGAAAATTATACTGATCTGCCCTGATGTTTATTGAGAATACACTGTCCTTCCTATGTTTTCTAAAATTTCGTTGACCTCCCCTGTTGAACTTTGTCGGTGGACGGTGTCAACAAATCTTGTAAATTTACTATTTTATCTTCACACTTGAATATATTTTTAGCTAATCTTTGAACGTTCTGTGATAAGTCATAAATGCCCTCCACTGCCACCTGTTCAACCCATATAAAGGAATGGGCCTCTCTTGGATGAAATTGTCTTTGTACAGGTGCCGGAATCATGGCATTCCCGATGATTGCGAGAGCAAGAATTTTTGGGAGGCAGGGAGAGGGAGAGAGAAAGATCTTCTGGTCCTTGATCTCGCTTGTCGGTGGCAGACTCTTTTAGTATTGTGGCTTATCCTAGCTTGGGAAAATGCAGTGAATTTACATATCAGTTGGGTCTTCACTCAACACAGAGCGGGGGCCATGGGAATCTGTAAGGTTCTGAGATGGCATAAATTAATGAAAAGGAGACAACGGGGATGGAAATTCAATAATTGGGGTTTTGGAGCTGGCGTTCTGTGATGGGGTTCTCTAACGTCATCACTGTCCGGTATTTTAGTAGTTGTGGTTTTTCCAGCCAAAAGGGGATTTACCAGCCACAGGTTTTCTCCGCATAGTAAAAAGAATAACCCAGATTGCCAAGAATGTTGTGCAAACCCTAGAGGTGGGCAACTTTTGGCTGCGCAAGAAGAGAATGATAATAGGTATTTGTAGAGGAAGCGATATGAGTATGATGACGGAGTGATTCTATAGGGTTGAAGATGTTGAGAGGAGGAAATTGTGATAGAGAAGGATATTCTTTTTTAATTAATATATATGTTTATATATATATATATATATATATATATATATATTATTTCCAAATTTAAAAATGCAAGTTTTTGAGAATATATAATTCAATGCTGAATGAACTTTGGGATTAAGGTTTTGGTTGTATGTGGACTGCTGTAAGAACTCTCAATTTATCATTTAGAAGTATAAAAGAACTACAAAATGTATGGGCAGGAAGTGGACTAAGTTGTGCTTATGGATTTTCTTCATTTGGGCTTCATGCTTCTGCTATAGCTACTTACTACATATCATCTAAACTTATTCTTTGTGCTTATGTTATCTTATTTATACTTTACTGACCATATATTTGCAGATTTTCCCTCTCAATGAGAAGATTGAAAACATTAATGATCAATACTGGACATTACGTGCCGAGGAGGTAACTGTTATTTTTTTGTTGCAAGGCTAAAGTTCAGGCCTGTGGATTTGAGTGTCCTTCCATTTTTCTCTATGAGTTTGATGCCTATAATTAATATTCTTAATCTGTTAACTACGCTTTCAAGATTTAACTTGATTGTTCAGATTGCTGACTTTGACTCTAAGTCAGGCTAATATTGAACTACAGCTTATCCAAAGCCTTAATTGAGCAGCTTGTGCTGTTGAGTGATACTGAAAATTTACCCAATTTTTAACTGGGCATCTTTGCTGTTTGGGTCTCTGGCAAATATTTAAGAACTTGGAGTACTTTCTTTAGATTTTTATTTGCGGGAACCATAGCATGATATGATGGAGAAAGGTTGGTACAAGAATATTGTTGAATCTGGACACAAATTTTGAGATAGATGGAGACTGTTCGATACAAGAATATTGTTGAATCTGGTGACAATTTTTGAGATAATAATAGACAATACAATCTTTCCTGTTCTCCCTCCCGCACTCCCCTTTATTCGGGTGACTTTACGTTTTTCCCCCTTCTACAAATGTTACAATTACTACCACTTTAGTGGGTAACTCAGCTTTATCGCCATATTTGAACAAATTTTTTTTTTTTTTTTTTTTTTTCAGTAATTGATTTTCTTGTGAATGGCTGGTAACACCGACTGATGTCAGCAGATCAACATCCTTTTAGTGAATTATTGAAAATAATAATAATAATAATAAATCCTTTTAGTGAATTATTGAAAAAAAAAAAAAAAATCCTTTTAGTATGCTCACCTGCCTGCTGTAGCGCGACATGTGCCAGTTGGCGTTAATTGTTCAGGTGGTGGATGTACATTATGTCAGACTTACTGAACTTGTTTGTTGCTACAGATTCCAGAAGAGGAGAAAAACCTTGGCCCTCACGATCGCTTGATTCATGTTTATCATTTTATGAAAGACACAGCTCAGAACCAGGTGGTAAGTGCATATGAATAAAAATTTTAAGAGGCGCTGCTGTTCATGCATTGTCGCGTCCAGTCTTACAGTAATGTTATGTACTGTACAGTATACATTATAAACAGTAAAATCTGTTTTGGCTGAATTTTCTTTTGTGCTAACAGCAGGTCCAGAATTTCGGGGAACCGTTTTTTCTGGTCATCCATGAGGGTGAAACGTTAGCTGAAGTTAAAGCCCGCATACAGAAGAAATTGCAGGTTCCAGATGATGAATTTTCAAAGGTATCTTATTTTTTTCTTCCTCAATGAATTGTATTTTGTTTTCTAACATCACCGTGGACATCAGCATGTTGCATTTTCTGACAATGTTTAAGCTTGGTTCTTAATTCCCCCCTTTTTATTTAATAAATTTGTTTTTATTTTTTTTCTCTCCAGTGGAAGTTTGCATTTTTGTCTTTGGGTCGTCCTGAGTACCTTCAAGACACAGACATTGTGTCCAGTCGTTTTCAGGTGCTCTCTCTCTCTCTCTCTCTCTCATTTTTAATTTGGATGGATTTTTACCTTTTTAATGGTGATGGTCATATTCTGCTGTGCAGAGAAGAGATGTTTATGGTGCTTGGGAGCAGTACCTTGGACTGGAGCACTCTGATAATGCTCCTAAAAGGTCTTATACAGCCAATCAGGTATATAGTCTTGTCCAAATTAGTTTAAGAAGTTTATAGTTTCAGGGTTCACGAAATATGTTTTAAAAAACCTATTTTATTGAACTTTGTTCTATTTTTTCTCCCTTACTGATTTTTCTCAGTTGCATGCCAATATTTGGCCTTTGTTTTGGCTTTTAATTAGCCTAAAAGTTCAAGAGCAGGCATAACCGCCCCCACTTCCATTTAATCACTGACAAAGCCCAAGCCTGCCCACATTGCCTTGACTCTTGAGTCTGCAAACTGTTACATGGTTGCAATTGAATTAATAATGATGATGATAATGACCATTCAGCAGAAACAAAAATAATAACATTAATGGATGCGTTCCTCTGAGAAAATTTAAAATTTTGGTGGCATGTTATTTTGCAGAACCGACACACATTTGAGAAGCCAGTTAGAATCTACAATTAGGAACAAATCAGTTGAATCTCTGCCAGTGCAAATCTGGTATCCCTTGAAGATCAAGCGGTGGTTTGTGGAAGAGATGAAAGTCAGGAGAAGGAAGCCAGCAGTGACAGTGTTGTTCTATTATTATTTTGGTAGATGTGTAATTCTTTATTACAGAGGTGCCAGAGCATATGCAGCATATAGTTTGGGTCCTGCTTCTCTCTCTCTTTCTAGCACCAGTGAGCTGGGTAATTTAGATTACTATTTCCATCTTTAATTTCATTTGTAATTTAGGAACTCATGAGATTTTGGGGTGGCCAATGTATAGAGGGTATAGGCGCGTGTTTAAACTTTATTATTTTTTTTTTTCTTGTCCCATTCTCCCTTTGTGGTTTATAATCTTTAGGTGCTTTAGAGGCTGGGATGTATGTATAATGTTTGATCTGACTATCAGTTCGGGATTTGCTGGAGTGTGCAAGAGAAATAACTATCTGATTAGCATTCCAGTTGGTCTCAACTGGCTGTTGTCCCCAATACCAGCCACTGCCGAGATTTTTTCACTTTTATTTTTTCTTGTTTTCTCCAGATCACTTAAGAGGTGCTGATTCAAACTGTGATCCGAGTATATATGGAGGCACTGTGCCGCGTTATGTTGGGCTCTAGAAAATATAAACCCTAGGGTCACGGTCAATGAAGTGACGTATAATCGCAGGCGGTGCAAACTGAACTGCGTGTGGAAACTGAAATTGTAAACAGGTGATCCATAGAAGCAAAAGCGCAAGACATGTTTGCCTTGGTGAAATGCTCCTTTATTGTTCTCTCTCCTTGGTAAACATGTGATATGCTAGGTCTGCTATGCAGCTTTGTTGTTCTTGCCCGGATATTTATTTTTTCTTTAAATAATAATTTTTATAAAAAAGCTCCATTATTAGGATTGTAACAGCTGGATTTCTGTGCTTTACAATCTCTTTGCTGATTTAAGTTTTCTGAATATAATATTTGAATTTACCTCTCAGAAATAATTGTGTCAAGCGATTATCATCATCCTTGTCTTAATCCTTCGTATGAATGGGGTTGGGTGCATGAATTCTCTTTGTTCAATCCTTCTTATTAGATGCCATTTTTGGTACTATATTTATTTTTTAAAAAATAAATTTTAATAACTTCATCTAATGTTTGTTTTTGTCAGTCTCTAGGTTTTTGATTCTTGTATTTTTTCACCAATTGGAGCCACTCCTCTCTTCGTCTTTTGCCTTCTATGATAATTAGTCTTCCTTGTTTTACTGATATGTCGATAGGTTTTTGATGCATGTATTCACGCCATGTAAGTATGCTTTTTAATTTTCTCACCAATTGTATCCACCATTGACTTCCACTGGTGATCTTATATCTGCCAATCACGTTGACTCTTTTCTCACCCTTCTATGACACCGTCTATCATTTGTATGCTTTGATATGCACTTCTTTAAAAAAAAAAATTACAGAAGCAACCTGAGTTCTTTAACATAATGTAAAGAACTGGTGGTGTATATTTTATATTGGTTAGGACGTGGGTTTAGCTTTTTGGTTCAAAAATATATTTGTTTCACAGGGCTAGTTTGACAAGTGTTTTAATGGATCATGATCTGGAATTCTGGACTGGACTTAAGTAGGGCTTGGATATGTGCTTGGGCCAGGGGTCTAAAGGGTCTTTGTTATTATTTTTTTTTTGGACAAGAAACTCAAAACTCACCTTTTACGTGTTGGAAAGACTTTTAAAAGGTGAGAAAGTAACATTAGACTAAAGCTTTTGTCTTAAAGGTGGTGATGTAGACAAATCAATCTTGTTTATAGTATATACCAAGTAATATAATATATATGCATATACACATGAGCGCGGAGGAAATGATATTGGACTTGCAAGAAAATATTTACATTACTAATTATTATGTATGGATTCAATTAGTTGCATCCCATAAAACATAATATTATATATATACATGTACTTAACGACAACAATTTGAGTGACAGATGTGAGGAATTTTTTTACTACCTCGCACAAGCAACAGTACTATATAAAGCATTTTTCTTTTTCTCTAGTGTTGGTGTATGAACGTTACAAATAGTTTTAGCCAACATCTGTCGGCCAAAGTATACTACTTTTAGTCAGCTAGCTTGTGTGAGAAATATTCTTTTCTCAAGTATGTGTGTGTGTGTATATATATATATATAGATATTTTATTTCAAACATACAATTATGACAAGGCTATCATTTAACAACAGCTACAACCCTGCCAATATATGTGGTCCACAAAAATATTATAATGAAGTCCAAATGCAATATTGTTTGGCTACACAGGTGCATTTTTTTTAACATCTTAAAATTTTGTAGATCAGGATGGATTTATTGACAACTTGTGAATGATAAGATTGTATTATTCTGATAAGGATTATTCCGAATGATATGCGAATTATATTTTATGACAAGGCTATCATAAAATATGCGTTTATACTTATAGGTCACCATTGTTTTTATATTTTCTTATAACCTAAGTGTTTTTCTCAGAGGATTTATATTTCCAGAATTACACTCGTACATTTTCAAATTCATTTTTTTTCACCACCATTGGTAACTAGAACACTAGATCAGTTCTCTAATACTACTTATTGGTCCCATCTTTTTTGCTATTTCTCCTAAAACTAATTTGTGTTAGGAAAGACTTCAGCTTTGTCCTTAAACCTTGTGTTCGTAACTCTCCGTCCACCATCAACTACACCGGCCGCAGAACTTACTAAGGTGAATTACTTGGCTACACCAGCCAACAAATATAGAATTTCTTGTAATTTTTTTTTTTTTTTTTTTTTTACCAAGAAAAGAAAATACAGTATATATTATGATAAATAATATATTTGACAATCTTATATAACATTATTCTTCGCTCAGGTAAAACAGTTGAACATGCCATACTTTTAAACTCGGACTCATATAATAGTAGTAAAAGTCAAAAAAATGGTACATCTCTTTTCTTGTGCAGGAGCCTGTAAATTAAATGAGCCTAGTAAATCATAGTTGCAGGAGATCATACTCACCAAGACCATTTGCCCCAGTCACCATCTTGTTCGGAGAGTTGGAAACACAACCTACTTTTTATGATTTGATGATTAAATACTTGGTCCACCTGTATCTATTCATTCAAATTCCAACCCAACCACCTCTCTCAAACCTCAAAAGGTTCCATGAATTATTAGACCATGCATGTTACTGTATTATTTCATGGACCAACTAACAATGGGGACCTCTATCTCTCCCACATATATACATATATCTGTATGTGTGAGTGTTTTCCTATGTTATATATAATATATGGCAAAGTGAGAAAAACACTTTAATAGTTAAATTTTGAACAAATATTACTATTAAGGTTTTTTTTTTAAATATATAAATGCGTTAAGTTTGAAAAAAATGATTAATGAGGGATTTGGGGTAGCTATTTTTGTTACAAATTTGACATTTTTAAGATATAAAATTTTAAAAATTATCTTTTCTCTTTCAATAATGTCCTTATACGTAATATATAAGAAAAAAGAAAGAGGGACACTTTAATCTTATCAGCGTACGGACTTTTCTTTGTTCAAAAATTAAATGTTTAAATTTTTTCAAAACGTATAGAAATTATACACTCCATATGCATACGATTGAGACCTATATATATATATATATATATATATGATAACAATTTATGAAAGGGTAAGTTCAACTTGAAGCCCATTGTGTACTTGTATAACCTTCGATGAAAGGACTAGCTATGGGGGGGTGGAATGGCATTGAACAAAGAGGTTAAATGAAGTGCATGAGAGTAGCTCATTTGGCACATTTGTCATCCCCTATAAAAACACACACGCATATATATAAAGGTCTTTGATTTGGATGGTGACACTACCATTGAAAAAGTAGTACATGTGAATTACAAATTACAAGGCAGAGAGAGCGGGAAGTCAAAAAAAAAAATGCCTCGTATTACACATGAAGTGTGAAGTGGTGTGACAGTGACATTTCAGAGGCAAAACTAGGACATGTGAAGTTTGTCATAATGCCACACACCACCATTAATGGACCCTTAGCTATCATGATTTGAATGCAAACCTCAGCCGGTTGGCACCCATTTTAATGAGGTCCAACCAATTCAAATTTGGATTCACTCTCATCAGTCTCATCATACTATAATTTTCAATAATGTTAGATGCCCCCTACCCTTCAATCCAATTTGGTAAACTATGAGATCCTTTGATGCAATTTAGTGAAATTTATGGAAAAAAAATTTATAAAAAAATGAAGTACTCGTAATTTTCCGAAATGATGCACATTTATGATGGACTCACAAGATTCATGGCAAAAATGGGGGGATCTTTCTTGCAAGAGTTGTATTCTAGTTGGTTGTAAGGTGTTTGATCGACTTAGCAGCCTCTCTGGATAGGATTATATGTTCTACTTGAGTACATCTCAAAGCTTTGAAATTTTCAGTTTACCTTTTAGTTGATTGTTTTGGACAATTTTGTATGATAATATATTGAAAATTTATTGTGCCACTAAATAGGGCAAAAAAGTAAGCTTATACACAATGAACTTGATTTGATTTTTTTAGCAAAATTATTTTGGATAAATTCCACTTACTTTCTTTGAAATTTGTTCATATCTCATATAGACTTTTTTGGATTTCATAATTTCACTTACCTTCTTCGAGATTGTGGTTTACATAATATATTTTCCCTTATCATTAGGGTAGCTGACGAAAACAAACAGAATTAACTAATATCAACAACGCATTTCAAATGTTTTAAATGACGGAAAACATTTAATAGGGCAAAGCAATAAAATAATACACTATTGTTATCATGTTGGACAACCATCAGTAAAAAAAAGAGGTAAATGAAATTATAAAATTAAGAAGGAATTTATATAAAATATTGACAAACTCCATAGAAGACAAATGAATATATATTTTTAGTAGAATATATGTTCAAAACTTGACTTAATACAGTACCTTCAGGTGTAAAAAAATTGCACGAACTCCCAAATTAGCTTTGGAAAAAAATTGAACGCAAATTAAATAACTTACAAATGCTGTGTTTTTGCAGTCGCTGCTGTTGTTATTGATTACTTTTAACCTAATTAGTAATTACTTATATTTGGTTGGGAGAAGAATGGAACGAACAAAAGGGCAGAGAAAAGGGTAAGAATGGAGAATATTCACCTTATTTAATAGAGGGAAGAGAAAGTGGAAAACGAATAAAAGAGGTACAAATTTTTAAAAGACCTATATATATTTTTTAAGATAGATATTTCGGACCTAACTTTTGAAATTATTGTACAGAAGGTCCTGACATTGAGAATAATGGAGTTAATGATAGAGGAGGGATAAAGGGGAAGGAGCGGGAAGGAGCTTACCCTCTTTACATGGATATATATATATATATATATATATATATATATATATATTGACTTTTTAAAAGGAGGTGATGAATTCGAATTTCAGCAAAGGCACATGTGTAAGTTAAGTCACACATTTACGCTCCGCACTTATTGTTGCTCCTATTCTCACTATTTTTTTTACTTAATTTTATCCTTTTTTGTGTTCCTGCTTTCGCTTCACATGACTTGATGTGTGAGTACCAAGTAAAAAAAAAAAAAAAAATTGGGTGAAAAAACCAAAGGAAGCATTTTCCCTTTCAACTTTTGGATAGTCAGTCGTACATCCCTATCAACGTTTGTATTTTCAACACTCACTTTATGTGTGGATTATATTGTTTCTTATCTTCCCAACATTCACTCTAATAAAGATGTCTGGTCTAATAATTCTTCTATTGAATCTTTCTTTAATTTTTATGTGATATGTCGTTCAAGAAAAATTCTATGATACCCGAAAGTACTTTCACACTTGTTATACCTTTCAATCAAAGTTTCTCATTTATCTTAAAACTCTCAACTTGTTGGTTTAACAAAGAAAATAGAAATCTTTAATGAAGAGGGGTAGCAAGTATCAAGATGCACTAATGCACCCTTTCATTTATAACTCATTTTGTCTTGATTTTGTTATTCTTATTTCGGAGAGTTCTTTTTATATGAACCCAGCTAATCATATGCAACCGTATATACCATTGTGATTATGTGATTGATATGAACCATGTTACCGAATTATATAATAATTTTTTGTGGATTTATCGCCCTCTCTAATTTTTGTAGAAGGGATATATATACACACTAAAATAAAGCACTCTTACTTATATGCTAAGTCACACGATCTTTCTCAACGGGTGTCGCTCTCACGCTTTAAGCGTGCTTTCGCTCTAATGTTCCGTGCGCGATCTGAGTCGAATTCTCACTATTTATGACTTAATTATTTCGTTTTCACGCTCTCGCTCTCAAATTTACTCTCGTTTTTGTTCCCGCTTTATGTGACTTAGCTTATGTGACATAATACATAATATAATTAATTAATAAAAAAAATGACAAAATATTAAAGATGCAGCAAAGTTTTTTTGGTAACCCAAACTATATAGTAATTTTTCATGGGTATGATCACAAGATATTGAATTATTCAATCCCAGGTGCCATGTCATTGATAAGTGTGAGGAGTGCACTCACTCTTTACATTGACAAGCAAAAGTCACCAACATGTGAATGAAAAAGCAATTTGAGGGAGAAGTAAAGGACCTAACTGGAATAGGGGCATAAAAATCAGAGGTAGAGGCACCCCAACCACCCATCATGTTTGGGTGCTGGGAGCATCACCTACCTTTCATAATTTTGATTCCAATATGACCCACCACCACCTCCTCTCATGTATCTATCTATTCAGTTCAGATTCCAAAACCAAGAACAGTCTACTCTCATAGAAAGGTCCTTGGTATTAGGACCATGTCATGATGTTCTTGTATTAAATCATGTACAAGTGATGGCTTAATTTGGATAATACTAATACTCAGATTACAAACTATTTTCTCCTCTTATAATTAATAAGTTTGTTCTTTAGAAACAAAAATGTCCAGGCTCAAACTATGAAAGAAGGTAGGCAATTCTATTTATGAATTCCGTTTTGGTACAGTTTAGAAGATTTATGCTTCGTTCGGTAATAAGAAAAAAATAAATTAAATAGAAGGAAGAGAAATAGAGATGAATGTGATATTTTTTAAAGTATAGTTTGTGTCACTTCATCGTTTTATTCGATTAAATGAAAGAGAAGAAAATGAGCCAACAATTTATTGTGTTCGTTAAGAGATAAGAGAAGAATAAGTCACACAATTCCTTTAAGTAGATATCGCTATTACGTTCCGAGCACGTTTCCGTTCTTACTTTACACTGTAACTTGAATTTTGCTGTTTACTCGCTCCCACTCCTACTTTACGTGACTTGGAGGAAGAGAGAGTTTTAAATTATTTTTACTATTATAGCCACCGTATTTATAAATAATATTATATTTTATGAAGTATAGTAGTGTAATTTGAAACTTTTATAATAATTTTACTTGTCTTCCCTCCTCTCATTCGTTCATATTTGAAGAGATATATATTTTTTTTCTTTAAAAAAAGATGGATAACTTATTCTATCATATTATTTTTCTCTCCTATCCTCCTCTCTATTTTCTTTATCTCTCTTCTTTCATTTCTATTAACAAAGCATTAACGTCATTTAGACTTTAAAAATGGTACCACACCACACCACATGGTGTCCATTATTATTTTTTCCATATTTAATACTCACACAATTCCTCAAAAAATTATTTACATCCAAAAAAAAATATCAAGAACCAGTGGATTGATTCTTAGTTAAAAAAAAAAAAGAAAAAAAAAGAAAAAAAAAAGAAAAGAGTAAGTAATGTTTAAATTTAACGTGGTAGAGACTAGAGATTGCGTTGGATGTACAACCACGAATCTCTTACATGTGATGACGTCATCACCCAAGCAAGGGAACAATGGTGAAGTACAATATTATTTGGGTTGGACCGAGACCCGAGCAGCCCAAAAACCAACGGACATTGTCCTTCGTGTTAATTCATGTTTGTTTTTTTTTTTTTCTCAAAATGTGTGTTAATTCTTGTTAAAATAAATAAATTCTCCTTATAATTTTTTTATTTTTATTTTTAGTGCTCTCACGCTATTGGACCAATACCCTTACTGATAGAAAAATAAAAGAACCAGTGGATAATTGCTTGATTTGCCTTTATTTTTAATACAGTAACAAAAAAAAAAAAATCAATTTTATTTATATCATTCACAAAATAAAGTCATTTCCTTTTAATTTTTTTATTATATATATTTTTTCATTAATTAACCAAATACAATAAAAGATTAAATGATTAACATTAATATGCTTTTTAACCAAACTAATACACTCCATTTATTTATTTCTTTTATAAACTACTTGAATATACTTTTTTCCCACTAGTGCCAAACAGAGCCTTAAGTCTGTCTCAGCTCCATCAATACCGTCTCACGTGACCTGCTGTTGGAGAGAGAAAGGAGAGAGAGAGAGACCGACCCAGAAAGGCAAAAGCCAAAGCTGCTCCCAACCATCAAACCCAGCAAACCCAAAACCCTCTTTTAGATTCTCTCTCTCACACACAGTTTCACACACATTTCTGAGTGTACTGAATACTGATACTCTGCTACTGTGACGGTCTCAGTGTCTAATTTCTGTGTCGAGAGTGAGTCATTGTATAACTTCAAGAGACAACAGGGCAAATCAGAGGGGGGTCCTCCATTGCACTTGCAGTTTTTTCTCTGCTCTGTTAGAGGGAGAAGATAATTTTTAGAGAGAGAGAGGCGTTCAAAAGAAAGGAATGCAGCAGCACCTGATGCAGATGCAACCCATGATGGCAGCCTACTATCCCAATAACGTCACCACTGATCACATTCAACAGGTCTTCTCTTCTATTCCCTCCCTTTCTCTTTTGCCTCTCTTTCTCTCTCGCACATACCTTTTTTTCTCTGTGTTCTTGCAGCTACTTGATTTTTTTTTTTTGCTAGAATAACTTAGTAATGATCTTTGTTTAATGTTTATTTGTCATTTTACTGGTCCTACATAATCTACTTTTTAGTTTTGTATCTGATTATTGGTTATTATTCTATGAGGTTATTTACTACCCCTTTTTTTTTTTTGGTGTGTGTGTGTTCTTGTAGTTACTTCTTGATTTTTTGTTGCTAGAATAATTTATTTATGATCTTTGTTTAATGGGTATTTGACATTTTAATGGTCCTACATAATCTGCTTTTTAGTTTTTATATCTGATTACTAATTATTATTCTATGGGGTTATTTACTTTAGTTATTCATTTGGGTATTGGTAACTGGGTATCTCTTATTTTGATATATTCTATGGGGTTGTGTGAAATACATGGTTTTTATTTTTTATTTTTTGTTGTTTGGTTTGGTTTTAAATGGGTATTCTTTGTTTTGGTGTTTCTTCATCATCCTCCAATGGGTTTTTGTTTTGGGGTTTGTTGATTCATGTTTATTGGCTCTTTTAAATGCATGTTCTCTTTCTTAAATTTTTAGTTAGTGTTTTGGTACTTCTGGAGAAGAAATTGGTTGCCTGTTGTGGGGTTGGGGTTTTCCTTTTCTTCTTTGCTAAGTGGGGTTGGTGTTTTTCTGCTACTGTCTACTGTATTCAGTTTTTATTTTGTTTTTTGTTTTATAAATTTTATATTATATTATTTTATTTTAAGTGCTTTTTATATGAGAGTTGATATTAGTTGGATCTTTTAAGCATAACTTTGTAATCTTATGTCGTCCTCTTTTCCTTACTTTATTATTTAGTGATGATGCTTCAAATGATATAATTATTCAGTGTTCCCATCTTTCTATGACACTGGGGATTTTGCTTTTTTCTTTTCTGTAGATACAAAATAAAGCTGGAAACCTGTACTGGATTCAATTTTTCATCCTATTTTGTTTCTATCAGCTATGTTTTATGCATGAATATCATCCAGGAACTAGAAATATTTGAGTGGACTTGTAAGGGATACAACTAGTGCTCATTCATATGTTTCATTTTATGTCTGCATTAGCTTGCTTCATCGGATTAACTTTAGGCGTGCTATACAGGATTGCTTGTGTTTTTGTTTGCTTTAACACTTTCCCTCGTAGAGTTATGAGACTATGGATGAGGTTGGATAGTTGAAATTGCTAGTGCTTTAGCCTATGTGTTAGATCCCGCATTATCCACACGGCTCCATCGGTTGATGCTGCTTTTCTACTCAGCTAGGTTATAGTGTGAACTTGACTTGTTCACTTTATGTGTGTTTTGATAGTCCTTTAGGCATTTGGTAACCTTAAGGAGGTTTTGTACAATAAGTATTTGGGTTTATTGTGCCTTTTATAAGACTGCAATCATTGTAAACATTAATCTATAATATTATCAGATAAAATTGTTAAATCTGTCACCTCAGTTTTGTTTAATAATGAAAGTGTTTCTTGGTCAATTATTACAACTGTAGTTTCATGCTACATTTGAACATCTGGTTAATTCTCCATGTTATTCTTGAAATAAGAATAATATGGTTTCAGCTTTGCTCCATTGTATATATTTCACTTTTAAAACAGATCTTGGAGTGCTTAAAGGCCCATCCTTATGGCTGCAAATGAATAGAGTGAAGCCGTGCTTGAGCCTATTCAGGCCTAGTTCGTAACTCGCCTGTTCGTGGTCTCGGTCAGGCTGGTGATGAGTTTAGAAAGCTGAGCCCGAGCTCGGCTCGGCTGATGAGCTTGTGAAACTTTCTTTTTTTAATTTTTATTTTTAAATATTATGTTTTCTTATTTTTAATATTATTATTGAATTTTCATACTTTCATTACCAATAAATAGGTAGAAAACTTGTTAAAATTCCAGAGAAAACCTATAACACTTCTATCCTCAAGCCGAACGTATACAATCGCATCTTCACGAGTTGATAAGAGCCTCGTTTTCATGTGCCTATACGAGTTCAGCCGAAAATTGTTCCTACCTGACTCGTTTACAAAACGAGTCGCTGAAACGAGCTTGAGTTCCACTTGTTTGGTTGATGAACAAAAAAAACTGAGCTTTAAAAAAGTCGAGCTCAAGTTATTCATGAACAACCAGTTTCATATGCAGCCCTATTCATCCTTTGGGCATATCTGTGTAGAATCACAAAATATGTTTCATTTTGATTAAGTGGTTTGATGTTGACATCTCATATTTGCTTGTGGGCTTCATTTTTGCCCTTGTTCAAACTCTAATAATTTTATGTGAAAATGTCCAAACAATTAATATAATTAAATGGACTTTTTAAAAATTTATTTTCCATTTGTTTTCCCTTTTTTTTATTCATCTGTTCTTCATGTTTGATTCAATGGTTTGTAGGACCAGCCACAACTTCATAGTTCTCTTAAATAAGATAGTAAGGGCATTGACATTGTTTGTGGAAGATAGCTGCAGGAAAAAAGCCCTTAATCAGCATTTGGCGTATCATGCCCTTAATCCCTTGGTGTATTCACTAGACTTGTTGCATAGTTATATTGTTTAGACAGTTCAGAGTAGATATATCGGATGTGAATATCATCTACCAGTTTCTTATAGTTCTTTTCGTGTCTTTTCCTATAAACTTCATCAAACATTAACTTTGCCCACATCATATTTCATCCTTATAAGCATGAAAACTTTTCTTAATTTTTCCTATTACTTCTGCGCTACAATTTCTTTAGTCTAAACTCGCAGAAGATATTTATTTTACTTTTAAGAGCTATCAACCAAGTTCAACACCAACTGTTGTAGGAAGGAAAAAAACAAAAAAACCAACTGTTCTTTCTTTTTTCCTCTTCCATCTTTCACAGTGAAAAGTATAAACAAATCTGATGACACGTTATCTCAGCCGGTTGTTTGAAGTAAGTACTCATAATTTGCACTTAAAGCAGGGATTGTTGATTCACATTGTTCTTATTCTGTTATCATAAAACTTGTTGATTTGACATCTCATATGTGTTTTAAATGTTGTTCAATACTTCAATTGATGGTGAAGGAGTTGCAGCAAGCCTAACCTTCAGGTTTTCATTAGTTTAGATTGTTTTTTCTTTCTTTTTTAAAAAAAATAAAAAAAAAAAAATCTGAAGAGGTGATTGTGAATCTCTATTTCAGACTGTTATGTCTACTAGATATTTCAAATCCATGTTTTCTTGCTGCAAACTGAAATATGAGGCCAGGAAATTACCCATGTGTTATGGGCTTCTCTTGTGAATGCTTGTGATGGTATGACTTCAATAAATACACTAGAACTAGAAGCATATTTGACAAAATAATTCCAAGAATAGTCAGTACTATCAAATCTTCTAATATTATAGCTCCATTTTTTATAGGAAGATTATATTGTCCTTCTGAAGCTTTGGGCCTTCTGTTAGCCTGCACCAACCTCGGTCCAAATCCTTGTAATTCTTTGGTCTCCTGTTTTTGCTCCTACTTTGTCCCTATGGGACTTGAACCCTTGATTTTCTATTTTGACTTTTGGATTCTTTGACTTGTCTGCTTGGCACTTGTTGACAAAAAAAATTATATCTCTATGCATCCTATAGCTCTCTATACCGGTGCGACCTGACCAACCTTTGTTTCTTCCAGCATGCGTTGAAAAGTGGTTCTACATTTTCATATGGAATCTGCTTTCAGATTAAAACAATCTTCTTTATTTGCCACTTATGATGTATTTATGCTTTACATAATGACTCAGAGAATTCTTGTCAAGTGTACTCATTGTGGTACTCATTGTAGTTTTATATAGCGCAGGTTTTAGGTATGGTATTGCTGTGCAACTTTAATAGATTTTTCAATTACCTTATCTTGATATTTTTTTAATATGCAGTTTTTTTTTTTGTTTTGCTTATTAAGATTAATTAAATGATGCATTATCTAAAATAAGGATTTTAGTTATTTTTATCCTTTTTCTTCAATAATTATTCAGTGCATGATTTTCGCTAACAATTATCATAGTGTATTGATGAACTACTCTTTCTTAAATGCATTTGTTGTAGTAAACCTGTGCTTGTTAGGTATATTGATATAAAATTATGTACTTATGTAAATCTTATTTGGATAGATTTGAGAAAATGGAAACTTAAAGTCCTTTTTTCTCAAGTAATCGTAACTACTTAAGTACGTTATCAACTATCCATAGTATTATTGAGACATAACCTTGTCTCAAACTACTTTGGAAGAAGAAGTTTGTAGAATCAAAAACGTATTTGGAAAGGACAGGTTTCTCTGTGCATGAGAATGTCTTCATATTAAAAGATGTTGCATGGCATTACTACGTGTTTCCATAATGTGCAAAAAGTTTAAGGTGATCAGCTTACTAAATGTGATTTGTCGCACTAGTCCAGTATGTGAAAAGATCAAATTCATGAGGTGATCAGCTTACCAAGTCTGATTTCTAGCAGTAGTCTAATACATCCAAAGATCAAATTCTTTGTGTTCATCTATTTCTTACAATTGATGGAGTTTCTTCGCTTTTGAATTCCTCTAATCATATGGTAGACCACTTTACTTTTTTTGTTATTTTATTGTGGCCCACTTCTTCAGAAACAGCAGATGACTTGGCCACTGTGTTTGGACTTTTCTTTTAAAAACACAATGAGTTTTACTGTGTACAGGAATTAGTGTAGTCACCCCTACAACCAAACTGATGAATTAAATATTTTAAAAAAGCTCTGAAAGGAAAAATAAATAACATCACATTAATTTATCATAAGAGGTAAATACCAATGAAAGGTCTTCCTGTTGGACTGTAGCTGTGTTTATGGTGGTGACTGGTGTCCTTTCTAAAAACAATATTATCTGGAGATTGATGTTGTGTGCTACATTTATGTTATAAGCAAATCAGTAACTACATCTCTAAATGACAATTGAGGCAATGTCAACTAGATTGGTTAGAAAAATTTAATTAAATGACAAATGGCAGCACAATGATGAAAGATTGGACCAGTAACTGAATTTTTTTCAAAGAGGCAGTTGTTATTTACTGGCAAAAAAACCTCTAAAAGAGGATTTTCTTTCAAGTTTTCATAACAAAACATTTCCTGTACTTGGGGATATATTCACTTTTTCTTTTCCCTGGTAGGTAGGGGGTCTATATGGGTACTTCTACAGAGAAGCTATTTTCTTCTAGTTTGGATAATGGTTGTGGGTGTGAACTAGAGAAAATGCTAGTTGCAAATTTCAGAGACTTTACTTTTTCAATTTGTGGCCTCCTCCAATATTTGTTTCAGGTTCCAGATTATAGACTTTGTTTCAGTATTTTTCTGATCATCAAGAGACAAAAAATCTTGCTAAACTTTTGAGTCTATTTTTCTCCAATAATATTATTTTGATAAGCAAGTCTTTCATTTCGCAATAGTTGGACTGTTAAGTTGCCTATCATTTTGCTCAATGTTCCTGAATTCAATTACTATATGTGCAGTATCTGGATGAGAACAAGTCGTTGATTCTGAAGATTGTTGAGAGCCAGAATTCGGGGAAACTAAGCGAGTGTGCAGAGTAAGGATGAAATTTTATTTCCCTTCATTTCTCCTTGTTTTTTTTTGTCTCATAAAATTTAAATTTAATACCTTTTATTTCTTTTATTTATTTGTTTATTTATTTTGCACAATCAACTTATGTTTTGTTCTCTTAGCTTGGTGAATCTTTAGCAGTAAGATTTAAGTGGAGAGAGGTGCATAGTAGTTCCCAAAATGAATGTTGCGTGGCTATGAAACCAATTGACTTTCTTATTTGGCTATTGCTTTAAAGAAGTTAAGATTACATTTCTGAAAAAAGAAAAAAGAAGTTAACATTACATTTCCACCAAAGATATTCTGTATTAAAAAATCCGTTCAAGTACCTATGGGATTTAGCCCAGACGGTATGATCTCTCCTCCCCAAATGGGAGGTTGAGAGTTCGAGCCCTGCTAGGGGCTATATTGTAGTTGTGTGCATGTTTGCTTGAACTTTCGCACGGGAAGATCCTTTCAAGTTACTTTCGAGTATAAAGATGTAATTATCTTTATCTAGACTCGTGACTGTACTATGTTGATCTGTTCTGTTGGTTGTCATCCAGTTTCCTTTCTAAGATGGTCTTGAAATACTCAGTGGAGTTTCTCACTCAATTTGAAAATGGTGGGTTAAGTGTATCGATCAAAATTTCTGTTGTACAATTATTCTCCTTTGTTTTGCTGCCAAGAAGATGGAAGGAAGGAAGAAAGTCCAAATTATCCTACAATAGTTGTCTAGTTCCAGTTTCCCTTTACTCTTGTATTGTATTCTTGGTAATCAAATTGATAATTCATTTGATTTAATTTTCTCTATAAAATCATTTCCTCTTTTAGGTTTGAGGGAATTCTTGCAAAACGTTCCTAGTGTGACTTAATTCAGTTAAATCTGTCAAAAATCATGCACAACTTGGATCCAAAAGAGAAAATTCCAACTGTCCTTAACAAAGTGGTCCCACTTACGTGGAGTGTTGGCAAAGATTGGAAACACATCTTAGGTATTGTTTGTAACAAAAAGTGGCTACTCTCAGACTCAAACCTGCATTGTTATGCTTCTTGAATTGAGCTTTAACCATTACATTAACTATTGAGCAGTGGGCCCCTCCATATCCATCTACCAAAATGTTGAAAAAGTAATGTGGGTCAATCTCCTCATTTAATTTCTGTTTCTTTCAGCTAGTGTTATAAGTACTGCATAACTATAGTTGCACTTTTGTGTGTAGGCATACCGGAATTAGGGTTTTGTTATAAAAAAAATTAGGGCTTAGTTAAAAAAGAAGAAGATAAGAATCCATAGAAGAGAAAAAGTTAATGGAAGCATTTGGTCAATTTGATCTTTTTTTAGTTTGTAAAACATGTACCTTGGAACTACTAGGTGGGCCACTAATCCTTTTGTTGTTACTGCAGGAACCAAGCAAGGCTTCAGCGAAACCTTATGTACCTGGCTGCTATTGCTGATTCTCAACCTCAACAGCCTACCATGCATTCTCAGGTACAGATCCTGTTGCCGGATGTAATCTTTCATATTTGTTGAAGGTTGTACATCTCATGATGGACTCATCGTTATTCACAGTTCAGTATTATTCTGCATAATTTTTATGGAACGAACCATGCCTCTTTTCTTCTAATATGCACTGCACCACACTGCTTTCTACCAATTGTTACCTTATAGGATATTGTCTTCTTCTGATTTCAATACATGTCATGCTGAATCTGTTTGTATGTAAATTTCTTAAGGTCTAACTTCTGATTTATTTCAACACAAACTAATTCTGAAATTGGTATTCCTTCCACAAAGTGAAATTTCTGATCCACATTTGTTGATGACCTACAGTTCCCTCCCAGTGGCAGTATGCAACCTACAGGAGCGCACTACCTGCAGCACCAACAAGCTCAACAGATGACACCACAATCATTCATGGCGGCACGCTCCTCAATGCTGTACGGTCAACAGCCGTTTTCAACACTGCAACAACAGCAAGCTTTGCACAGCCAGCTTGGCATGAGCTCTGGTGGAAGTAGTGGAATTCACATGCTGCAAAGCGAGGCTAACAGTGCAGGAGGCAGTGGGCCAGTTGGAGCTGGGGGGTTTCCTGATTTTGGCCGCAGCACCTCTGGTGAAGGATTGCAGGCTAGCGGAAGGGGAATGGTGATGGGGAGCAAGCATGATATCGGGACCGCGGGATCTGCTGAAGGGCGAGGAGGGAGCTTGGGAAGCCATGGCGGTGATGGTGGTGAGACTCTTTATTTGAGAGCCGCCGAAGAAGGTAACTGAGATTCCAGGATGACGGGCCTAGTGATCTATCTGTTGGCATCTGAACTTGAGAAAGCTTTAGTCAGGGAAGGTATTTACATGAACAACCTAGGAACTTAATGAACTTGTTATTCAATTTGAAACTTGAGCTTTTCTAGACATTGAGTTATTGTTTTAAAGTGGTGAGACAATGCATGTTGTGGTAGTGTATCATGTAAATTCTAGGTAATATGGTTATGTGCTTTGATCATGCTCTTGTTTTTTTGGTGTTTTGCATTGATTTCTATCTTCTTGTTGCTTATCGTTGTCTAACCATGTCTTGAGCTTCTTTAGGGGCTGCATTAGCTACCCAATTTGCTTCTGGACCCCATATAAGATACTTTATAGTACTAGCTCCTGACCGTAGCAAATTAGGGATGTTGCTAATTACTTGTTGAATTACCAGTATTGACGTCATGGCATGGATGAGAACCCTAGCATCACCCTCAAATACAAAAGGGGCAGCCCAATGCATGAGACTCTTTTGTCATCGCGTTACTTTGTAGCAACCTTGATTTCCAGATTGCAGTGGCCATCAATCTCCAAAATGACTGAGAAATTTTTACACAGTCTGTGTCAATCACGACTTGACACGTAAGTAAAAATCTGAATAAAGTTGACACATTTACTTGTCTATTGAGTTGTGATTGGTCGGGACTTAATAATTTTTCCAAAATGACACGGTAAAATCTCCCACCCAAGCTCAATTGCATTGATCAATGGCTATCGCAACTGAAGCCATTGTTATACTTGACCAATTTGGAATTTGAGCTCCAACACACTAGATTTAAGTTCTCAATTTTCCCATATTTTAACTAGAATTGTCTACCGTAATGTAATTTTTCATTCAGTTGTTTTTAAGCATAATGATCATCGTGCTGTGGTTTAAAGAATGAACGAATTTTAAAATCCAGATATTACAATATATATATATATATTTTCTTTTACTAGAATTGTCTACCGTAATCATTCAGTTGTTTTTAAGCATAATGATCGTGCTGTGGTTTAAAGAATGAATGGATTTTAGAATCCAGATATTACAATATTTTTTTTTTTTCTTTTCTTCTTTCAGAAAGTAATAAAGCTAAATGTTGTTAGATGTATGCTTGCTTTGAACCCAGATTGCACTTCAATTCGAAGAGCAATCCGAATCTTTAAACTAATAAAATGAATATCAATAGATTCAATAACGATCTCATTTCAACAAAGGATACTATTGTATTCTATATTTAAATCTATATTACCATTAAATGTATATAAATTTTTAATTTTTATATACATTTTTCACAATTTTATTAACAAAATAAGATTATGTTGTTAAACATTTAATACATTCAATTTATATTATTTGAGAGATAATTAGATTGATAGGTTACGGTATTCTTGTTTTCATTCCACTCCAAATTTTGAGCTATATTATTTGAGAGATAATTATAAGTGCTTAAACCGCATTTTTACCTTTATTTATAAGGGTACTGGTATTACCATTAACTGTTACTATTTATATAAGTGACTTCAATCTTACCGCCAGAAGAATGATTGAATTAGTCCTAGAATAATCAAAAAAGAATATTTAAGATATTTAGAAACAATAACACATTTCCATTTATACAAGTGACTTGATCGCTAAAAGAATTATAGATTTGGTTATACAATAATCTAAAAATAATATTGAAGATATTTAGAAGCAATTACACAATTTTTTAGAATTTCATAGTACAATCTATACTAAGACAAATAAAGTTAATCTTTGTTGCAAGTTTCTGTGTGGCATTTGTCATGTGTCTATGTGGCATAACATTTGGGGTTGGGGCATAATTAGTTTTTTATAAATAAATATTACACGCTTGTCTTCTTCTTCTTCTTCTTCTTACTTCTTTTTTTTTTTTTTTTGCATTAGTAATTCTTCATTGTATTTTTTTTTATTATAATTTGTTATTTGTATAATTAATTTCATTGTTTGGGTGGCCGTATTTTCACTCCACTTATACAATTGCACTTTTCTTTTTTTTCTTTTTTTGTTAATATAGTGTTTGGTTTGTAAGAATGTCATGGGATGCAAGTGGGAATGGAATGGAATGACAATTCTCATTAAATTGTTTGGTTGCAAATATGAAATATATAGGAATGAAATGATAATTAATGACCATTCTAATTTTTGGTTGGACCAATTTAAAATTTAGAATAGAATGCATTTCAAATTGAATTTCTCCAAAATACCCTTGTTAGTGACAAATAAATAAAATTAACAAAATAACATTATTTTATAAATTTTGTAAAAGAAATGGCGGCGGCAGTGGATGGCGGTGACAATGGTGGTGGAGGTGGAAGGCCGCAGTAGTATAGGTGGTGGTGCTGGAAAGTGGCGACTATGGCGGTGGAAGATAGTGGTGGTGGCGATGATGGAAGCAATGGTGGTGGTGGTGGTGGAAGGCGTCATTGGTGTAGGTGATGATGGTGGGAGGTAGTGGCAATGGCAGTGGTAGTGGCAGTAGTGGAAGTAATGGTGTGGGGGTGGTAGAAGGCAATGTGTAACGACCCAAACCGGAGGTCCGGATCGCTAACCGGGTCCTTAACCAAACCCGAGGACACACCAGGGCTAAAATGGTTATTTTACAATATGAGAGGGTAATAAGACCTCAAACTAGTCAAATGAAGTCTAAAACAATTATTCTAGTCATTCCTTGATACTCGGTGAAGTTCTACGGTCATCGGTTATGAATTCCCAAAAGTATCCTTACCCGGTTCAAGGGAAATTCCGACACTGTTCCACTAAAACGATCATAACTTTCAGCATGAATGGAATTTGAGGATGAGGTTGGTCTCATTGGAAAGCTAACTTAAAATCCTTAAAAGTAGACTCAAGAATGACCCTATTTGGGTTTGAAACGAAGAAGTTATAATAGTCTGAAGTTAAGTGATCAAAGCTGATAAAACTATGAAGGCAAAAATATACACTGGAGGGCTGGAACAGGTTCCCAAACTTGGAACTGGTTCCACATGGGCAGAATGCCCAAAACGTGAACCTAAGCACCCCTTGAACCGGTTCCAGAATGAGGTACCGATTCCCCAAGTCCAGAAACTAAAAAAAATGACCTGAAAGGCCTAAGGTGAATATTTGTACACTTAGGTACCCCATTGGTCCCATTGTGACCTTAATCCAAGTCCAAACCTGTCCCAACATAATGCAAAAACAACATATATAACATCCCATCAATTAGATATTCATCCAAATCATAGAGTTACAAATTCTTACATTATTGCAAAATCATTTACAAAGATTAAGCTTTGGATACATCAAGTTTAAAACCATGGATATGGTGATAGTCACAAGTTCCTTAGTTACAAAACCATCCAAAATACACCAAGGCTATACAAAATAACATGATTCTATACAAAAGAGTATGACTCCATATACAAAAGACTACAAAACAAAGGCCTCAAATCCGGTCTAAGCATATGGTGGATCGTTATCCGCCACCTCCTTTCTGTGTCCTGAAAAATGTTAAATATAAGGGGTAAGTAAATTGCTTAGTAGGTGGTGCCTAAGACACACCTCTTGTGATCCCGTAAATCCAAACAATAAATAGAAAAATAGAGAAGCAGGATCATGCCGTACAGGGATAAATATAGCAACAAAATCGACAGTCCAAGTCATAATTAAACTTATGTCGTGCAATGGGATGCAATGTCACTCCCCATTTTTCAAAACCATTTCTGCTATCATTTCCAAACCGTTAATACAACCTATCCCATGGCAGCTCCATAGTGGCACGAGAGAAGAATTGGTCAACTGTCCCTGACCACAAGGAAACTCCAGGGCGTCATTTGGGGCCCAGTTAGCTCAACCATGCTAGGACAGTCTCCCTAATTCCCTCTAGGTCACATTAACGCCATGATCCCATAGGCAACTCCTAGGCGACCGGGTTTTCGCAAACCTTTCGTCAAAACCTTTTTCCCAAAATCATTTTCTTTCCTTTTTAAATCACATTTTCCCCTTTCATTGCCCAATTTCATGCATGAAAATGCATCATGCCTTTCAGTGCCATGCCCGTGGAGGATTTCATGTTTCACAAATCAAACATTAACAATATAACATGCCTTGTAGAGAATTTCAAAAAAATAAACATCATGCTTCCATATCACAACATCTAGCATTTTTCACACCATAGGCAAGTAATATCATCAATTAAGTATGCTTTTTCATATAATTTTAACTAACACATAGTCACATGCTTCACAAAATTTATATGACATAATTCATACTTTCAAGTCATGAAATTTAGCACCAAAGGTATAAAGAGCACAAATTAATAATCAATTATGCATGTTTCATCATCATATATACCAAGTAACACATAGTCACAACTTTGGTACAACGTATATACAATATAGTATGAAATTTCTACAAATCAAGTATGCTAACTACAATTTTAAGAAGATTAATTCACAAAAGAACCAAGAAAATGTAAATTAGAAACCCCTACCTCTTATGATGCGAAACCCCCAATTCCAAGCCCTAGATTTCGAAAATCCTAGGGTGTCCAAAAGTGTGAATTGCTTCTATCAATGTGTAGATCTTGATGTGCTCTTCAATTTGCCGCAAACGGCACCCAAAAAATCCAATGGATGAGAGAGTAATGAAAGATTGAAGATTGTAAAAAAAAAAAAAAGAAAAAAGAAAAGAGGGAGAGAGAGAGCTAGACGGGAGAGAGAAAAAATGATGGCCAAAATGGCCTTTAGGCCATTAGAATGAACAAGTGGGGTGGGCCTTACAAGCACAAAAATATCTCCTTCCTAAAAAAATTATATATATATATATATATATATATATATATATATATATATATATATATATATAAAAACCAATTAAACCACCACCACACAATTTAATAAACAACTAAAGGTCATGTACAAAATAAAAACGCAAGAAATGCAATTGACCCGTGCTGCAACAATTCCGGTAACGGGTCCCACACGGGACCGTCCGCCCCGAAAAATTGAAAAATGCTGAAATGGTAACTGGTGCATTTTCAAGAGTCTTAAAGTCGAAGAAATACCCCTAACCAACTCTCGAACACACCCGACACACTCCACGGTGTCCGGTACGCAAAACTAAAAAAGACGAAAATACCCTCGAAAATTTCAGAAAATTCCAATAATTGAAAAATGGTGAAAAATAGAAATATTACACAATGGAGGTGTCGGTGGTGGAAAGCGGTGGTGTAGGTGGAATGTGGCGACAGTGGTGGTGATAACCTTTATGGTGGTGGAGGTAGAAGGTAGTAGTGGTGGTGAAAGTTGGTGGTGGTAGTGGCAGTGATGGAGTCGGTGATGGTGGCGGTGGATGTGGTGAAGGCAATGGAAGGGGCAGCTTTGTAGTGGTGGTGGAAGGTGACGAAAGTGGTGAAAGGCGATAGTGGTGGTAGTAGAAGAGGCGGTGGTGGAAAGCCGAGAAGGTGACAGTGATGGAAAGCGGTGGTGGTGACGACGACAATAATGGTGGCGGTAATGGTGACTGTGGTGGTCGCAATGATGATGGTGAAAAATAATAGAGGTGGTGGTGGAAGGCAGTGGCAGTGGTGAAAGTTAGCGGCAGTGGTGATAATGGTGGAAGTGGTGGTGGCAGTAGAAGGTAGTGGAGGCGACATCGATGTGCTGATTGAAGGCAACAACAATGGTGGTGATAATAGTGAGGTGGTGGAAGGAAATAAAGGTGGCGGTGGTGAAAGGCAAAAGTGGTTGTGTTGAAAGGTGGTCTTGGACGGCAGTGGCGGCGGTGGTGGTAGTTTTTTGGATTTGGAACATGATAGTTTTTCAGGAAGTTGATTTCTTTAAAGAAATTTATTTGGGAATGGAATGGATATTCCATAGATTTAGTTGTGAAATGGATTTTCATTCCCTAAAATGAATTTGTTTTTCATTGGAATGATCGTTCCTACTTTAAATTGCATACCAAACAAAGAAATGGTTAGAATTGGCATTCTATTATATTCCATTCTTGCATACCAAATGCAACATAAAAGAAATGACAAAAAGTCCCTAAGCTCATTAATAAATAAGGGGCCCCATTTAAATAAATGGGGGATAGATATAACAACCAGTGCTAAAAGAATGCAGGGGAGAGGTGTTTCAACAAATGCTTGAATGGTGCCCTCAGTGGACACATAAATTAACAATGGGGAAATTTGTCGGTCGATATTGTCTCAAGGTTCAAGCAATTGTAGCTCTGTTATTTTGCATGCTCACAAAAAAGATGAAATTGTGAAAAAATTATTGATGAATGACTTAAACCAAACAAGCAGTGCCATTAATTGGTTTGTTCGTCAATTACTCCACCATTGATGCTAAGTAATTACTCTTCCGCATCATCCCTCAAATAACAGTCATATAGCATCAATGACAATGAGGACGGTAACTACCCATGGCCGAAATAACATTGAAGACCCATCAGTAGCGGGAACTCCTACACTGAATCAGACCATCAAAAACCGATGAGACCTACCGTTGAGACTAGGAAGCTGTTCATCGTGAATATCAGTGAGAGCTACAACTTCCTTCATCAATATGAACAGGTCCGGATAGCTTCTCCTTCATAGACCCACGAGCTCCAGCAAAGTTGCAGAGACGGAACTTCGACGACAATGGTAGAACGGTGAAAGTCTCTCTTTCCAGCAACAACATCGGTGAGAAACTTGAGCTCTTGATGGCCAATTATAATGACAAAATCAGCGAGACGTTGAGACCCAATTGTAACAATAGTTCCGCAAATTCCTATGAACAAAGATATAGCTTCGACAAACTAACAGAAAGTGTTGTAATCAACACTTAGCTTCATCTTGACAACATAGATTCAACAAACCTTCGATTTGGTTAGTGAAACAAATAAAACTGACCCTTTCGTTTTCTCACTGTAAATCACAGAAGGTTGTAAATCATAGAGAGAGATTGCGATTTCCATTAGGGTTGATGGTTTGATTGGGCATAATTGGGGGTTTTATTGTGTTGTTATCAACATAGTAACAGTAAGGGTAAGATTGCCATTTTAATTTATAGTGACTACTTTATGGCTAAACATTGACCACAATAGTGTTATCTGTTTGTTTGTTTGTTTTTTTTTTTTTTTTTGTCTTTTTTTTTTGCAAAATATCTGAAAAGTTTAGGGAGTTTTTTGTGGAAAAAAAAAGATCAGGGGGTTTCTAGCAAGAGAGAGTAAAGTTCAGGGCATTTTCGAAAGAGTAAAGTGCAAAATATCCCTATACTTGAGATTAGTAGCATATACACCCTCTTTGGCATTTTCGAAAGAGTAAAAGGACAAAACGGGTATTACAATACCAAATTTATGCCATGTTTATGATTGATGGGTATTTTCGCACAATGTGAAAAGAATATGGGTAGTTTTGCATACCTTTTCAAATAGGGATAAAAGTGCTACGCGAAATATACATTATGAGAGTTTTCTGCAATATACATCAGGAGAGTTTTCTGCACTAGCCCCCATTTATTATATATACATCTATAGACTACATGGATAGATCAAGATAGGAGAAAAAAGAAAGGCTTAAAGGGATAATTTGTCTAAAAAAATAATATTTTTAAAGCCCCAAGGGACATTATGGAGAGCTATCTATCTAATGAGGTTAACTAAGAAGAGCTTATCAGATTCTTCTCTTAAGATAAGCTCTCTACAGGGGTGGTTCAATCTAATTTGGGACATTAGGCAAAAAAAATAAAAAGTGGCCTTTTTAACAATCTAATTTAGGGCGTTAGGCGAAAAATAAAAAAAAAATGATCTTTTTAATAATATAAATAAAATAAGTCACAACTCAAAAACAAAATATATAAATATATATACACCCAAATTTATATTAACAAAATTTAATAAAATTAAAAAAATAATTAAAGAAAAAGAACCATTAAACCTGATTTAGAAAACCCAAATCCAATACTTCTACAAATTTTTCAATAGAATAAAAATGTCGTTCATAATAACTGTAAACTTGCAATGAGAGTTAGAAGAGAAGACTTATTGAAAATTTATGAAAAGTTTTCGTCATTTTTTCAAAAAACAACGTTAAATAGATATTTAATATTTTACTGTTGGTGTATCTTACCCAAAAATGTTTTTAGTGCTGCTGTAAAAAATGTGAATGAGAGAAAGAAAGAAAAAGGGAAAAAAAAAAAATGTAATGATACAAATTTTTGGGCCTAGTATTAAATTTCTATATTGGTTAGTGTTGACCTTAAGGATTTTATCCAAAGACAATCTAGGTGTTTTGATGATAACAAACCCTTAATGGTGTTTAAGGACTAATGTTTATATTGAGTGTTATATAGATTATTCACATTCAAAGAATGACCTCAATGAAGCTATAAAGATCATTCCAAGTATTCCATTACTCAAGATCACATCAAGGAAAGAAATGAATACAAACAAAACTTGAAGTTGCAAGAAGCCACATGAAAAGTCCATCCAAAGATAGTTTAGACTACAACAATGAAGAAATCAACTCAAAGAAAGGATGAAAACAGGGATACCTTAAAGCCTAAAGATCATCGACGAAGCTTGAAGAAAGGCGTAGATAGAATGGTGAGTGTTTAAGATTAAATGTCAAAGTATTTATGAATCTATTTGAAGCTCATCTCTATAGAACTATGCATGTCATTACATCATTCATAAGTTTCTATGACCATTAGCAATAGACTATGCACTTCATTCATATATATAATAGACATATGAAGTCATTGCTAAAGAATGAGTTAGTTCAAGCTTGCTTAAGCTTTGAAAGAACTCATCACTTGTCCTAGAACTGTTAAGACTATGCACATCAATTACATGATTCACTTTGGTTTCTAGAAAGTAAATGCTAAGGCTTAAAACATATTTCCTCATATATAAAGCATTCATTACAATGACTTGGTAACGGACTTTAGGACCCAATATCTGCCTGATGAAAAACTGTCTTTTTGGCTAAGTATGAAAAATGGCTAAGTATGAAAATTTGATTTTTGAAATAATGACTATTTCAAAATAATTTTTCCCGATAATAACTCTTTATACTTCAAATAGCCTAAACTGATTTTATGGGATTTTTTTCATCCATTCTACATTGGTCTATATGAGGATTCATTTTTACCAAAACTGTCGGAAATCCAAATTTGTACTAAAACTGAAATTCTACATTTTTATTTAGTTGGATTTCAATTTTCTTATATTTTTTTTTGAATCCAAATGGGGGGTACTTCCTTATTTACATTGTAAACTTAAAGTAAATGGATATTTACTTAAATGTTTTCAATGAAAATAAGGTGTATGCAGAAGCCCTGTACAAAAATTGTCCAGTTGAACTGTCTGAAAAACTGTCAACAATTTCTGATAACTATGTAACCGGTTAGGAAGATTCTTGTAACCGAGTAGATGCATTAAGGCAGAAAAGGATTCCTTCGAACAATGACTGATGTAACCGGTTAGGAAGAACCTTCTAACCGAGTAGATGCATTAAGGACTCCTTCCGACATTGAATGATGTAACCGGTTAGGATGATGCTTGTAATCGTTTAGTTGAACTAAGCCAGAATAATGTCTTCAATCATTTGCATTCAAGTAACCGGTTAGACAACAACTTGTAACCGGTTAGATGAGATCTATATCTCATCTACTTAAGTAGTTTAAGCCTTATAACCGGTTAGATAAATTGAAAGAATCTTTCCAACGGCTAATTAACTAAGGAAGGCTAATATATTCAGAAATGGAAGGCTGACAAAGATATATCTGTGAGAGCCATTTTTCGTGCATCCAAGAGAGCTTTTGCTCTACCATTATACAGAGCTTTTGTTCTGCTTTTACTCACTCATAGAGCCTCTGTTCGGACATCAATCTTCATCTCATATATTTAGCTTCCATAGCTGAACCAGAATGATTTCATCAGAGTCTTTGTTCTCACATTTTCTCTTCATCTATCTCATTATTTCATATACTAATCTTGAGAGATTCTAGTAAGGATTCAAAGGGCTTTTGTTCTTGTTTGAATCTTTATAGAGTTTTTGTTCTATTATACACTTGAGAGATTCTATTGAGTTATTAAGAGCTTATATTCTTCACATATTTCATCTTCTCTCATTCATTTCATTTATAGAGTTTGAGCTTCATTGATATTCATATATATTCTAGTTAAGAGCTAAATTTGTACATTAATCTTTGAGAGATATTTCTTGTACTTCATTATTTTTGTTACTATCAATTGTAAGGGGTTTGTTTGACCCACCGGGTTGGTGTGACCCAAAGAAAGACTAAGGGAATGTTGTTCTTTTAGCAAGAAAGAAAAGCAAGGAATTGCTTTATGTAAAGGTTTGCTCTCCACCCATAAGGAGAAGGTATAGTGGATAGGGAAGTCTCAAGAGGGGTCTTAAGCTGAGGAGTAAGAATTTCCGAACCTCGCAAAAATCACCGTGTTATAGTTTGCAATTTCTCTTCCCTTATTTCTCTTATAATTGTGCTATTTAATTGCTTATTTCATATCTGTATAATTGCACAATTGTGTTAAGTACTTTGCTTGAAATTATTTTTCTATATTGCAAAAATTGTCCATTGTTTGTCATTGACTCTATTCACCCCCCCTCTAGAGTCAATTATTAGGCAACAGTTAAGATTTATTGCAAAACGTGAATGAGAGTAAAAAAAAAAAGGAAAAAAAAGTAATATAAGGATGTAAATCTTTGGAGGCCAATATTAAATTTATGTATCAATTAGAGTTCAACATAATGAGGGAGGAGAGAGAAAAGAGAAAAAAGAAGAAGTTAAATTAGGATATAAATATTTGAGGCTTAATATAAAATCGGAATGAATGAGGAGAGATAGAAAAAAGAAAAAATAAGTTATTTTAAAATATAAATATTTGAGACCTAATATAAATTTTTTATATTTATTAGAGTTTAACAATATTAAAAAATAATTATAGTATAACTTAATATAAGAAAATTTTAAAATTTTGAAACCTTCTTATTGACTATTGGTAAAGAGCCAGGGCGACCCTTACGCGAAGATATTGGTGGGCCACACATACTACATTATTGCTATTCCCACTCAGCAAGTTTTTATTTAAGTAGGACCCATTTTAGTGTATGGTATATTTTGGTTGGGTGGATATTTGTCGCCCATGAACAATGATTTGATTGCATATTGATATGGACCCGTTTCAACCCGCCCGGTTTACTTTGACTTGCAAAGCCCAAACCCTAGTCTCTCATATACGCAGATCAGTTGGGAACTCCACGATCCCAATCTCTCTCTCTTGTTTTTGATCTTTGTCTCTCACTTTGTTTGTTTGCTTCTTGTTCGCTCTCTCTCCCAAATCTTAACCATCGACTCATCTCCGTGACGCGGACAAGCGAAACCAGAGGAGGTTCTTTGCTCACAGTCATTCTCTGCTTTGGTTGGTGGAGAAGAAGCAAAAGGTACATACACTTGTTGTCTTGTTCTTCAATAAATTCATGAGCATGATCATAAATGATTCTACCAGAATTGAATTGCCCCTACTGCAAGATTACAGGGGATGATGTGATATCAAAATTGTTTGCTTTATTTTGCTATTGAAAATAAGAGATCTTTCGCTAATTGCAAATTTGAAATCTGAACCAGTTAGGCTGTAAAACACCTATATTTGGAGACAACCCATCTTCTCCTTTTACCCATAATTATTTTTCCTTGTATTGTTCAAAGCATATTATTCATGTTGATGCAAAGTGAAATGGTTGATTCATTCAAAATGGTGTTATGAGAATAAGGGGCACATGTCTAATTGACCATGTCCATGTGCATGTACCATTGTGATGTCTATTGTAGCTTATGGGACATTTTTGATCCTCTAATTTTAAGCATGCTAGTCTTGTTAAGCTCTTTGTAGTTATTATGTGCTAGTCTTTTTCGAGCTTGTTAGTCTATGCCTTTTCAATTTTTTTCCCCCCTTTCTATTCTTTAGTCTGTGCTCAATAGGGTTGTTATTCTTATTCAATTTCAACTAGCATTTTTATTAACTTTGTTGTTCATGTGATTCATTTATATTTTTCCTTTGTTAAAAAACCTCTCATTTGAAAGAAATGAACCTTGCAGATAAAGTGAACCTCATTTGAGGTTTTTTTTTTTTTTTTTTTTTTCTTCTGGTAAAGCACTGATATGAAGACCAATTGTTTAGGGGTGAATAAAGTTTTTTTATTTGTGATTACAGAATATACTTATATTGTTCCACTTCTATATTTTCCCCTTTTATTTGACTGGCAAAAACAATGAAATTTCTTTTTGTGTAGAAGATAATAGTCATTTCTCAATGCTAGCACATAGATTTGAATGTTTGATTCATTGTGCATATATTTTGTTGGAGAATTATTATGAAAGTTTGTTGACCATATTTACTCTGCTTCTCTTATATCCTTTGCAGGAAATGTCATTCTTGAAACACTTTTGGGGTGACATAAAGTCTTGTCTTTTCGTATATGAGTTGCATGGATTTGCATCCTTTTCAGGTCTAAACTAAACCTAGAGTGATACTTCATCCCTGTCCTTCCATTGTGGTAGCTTGTTAGATTACATCACAGGGAGATAGTGATTTACTTTATCTGGCGAAAATGACAGACATCTTCAGCTACACAGCTTGCAGACAGTTATTGCAAATGTTATCGGCCATAGTCTTCTTTCACGTTTCTGAATACCTTCTAGCCATTGCCATTCATGGAAGATCAAATGTATCTCTCAGTTCCCTTTTGGTCAGCAAAAGCTATCTTCTTGCAATGATCTGTTCATTGCTGGAGTATTTTCTTGAAATTTATTTTTTCCCTGGGTTGAAGGCATACTGGTGGATAAGCAACTTTGGCCTTGGAATGGTTGTAATTGGAGAAATCATACGAAAGATAGCAATTATAACAGCTGGTCGGTCCTTCACTCATCGTATTAAGATTTATCATGAGGAGCATCACAAGTTGGTGACTCATGGAGTCTATAAATTTGTCCGCCATCCAGGATACTGTGGTTTTTTCATTTGGTCAGTAGGCACTCAGATAATGCTTTGTAATCCGTTGTCAACAATTGCATTTGCTATTGTTGTTTGGAGCTTCTTTTCAAAAAGGATACCATATGAGGAGTACTTTTTGAGGCAGTTTTTTGGGCCACAATATGACGAATATGCCCGTTTGGTTCCTTCTGGTGTTCCATTTGTGAAGTAATGATTTATGCATTTGTGAATGAGGCTTCCTCACTTTTGTTATATCCATCTCTCTCCATCAAGACAGCTTTACAATAGATTTCATCAAGGCATTCCTGGCTTATAGCTTCACAATAGTTTTCATGAAAACATCCAGGCTTATTTGATGTTGAACAAATTTTAAGGCTGTTCGGAGTGACTCAAACTGATCTTCTTGGTACATGGAATATCAACTAGATTTATCCCAAGCCATTGTAATACTCAACTGTAAGATTTTTATTCTCGACTTGTAATACTTGTTTATACTCACTTGTGTATCGTTTGGATTTTTATATTGATTTGGTGCATGTCAGTTTTGTGTAGCATTCATTTTCCATTAATTATGACCTGAATATATAGACTGATTTTAGAGATCTGTCCATTGTTTTCTTATTCTTCTTAGAAGACCCTAATTCCTGTCCATGAACATAAGGAAATAATTTAGATAGATTGAGAATTCCTTTAGGGCCTGTTTACTAACGCTTTTATTTTCTTATTTTTGCTTTCTCCAAAAGTAAAATCATAATTTTCATTTCTGAATCTAAAATATAAAGTTGAATTATGTTTACTAATTTGTCATGCTTTCAATATTTTCAAAGCAAGAAATTAAAAAGTAAGTTCAATAATTATAATTTTGATTTTGTTTTCTAAATTTTATACTATCTATATGTGTATATATATATGTATATAGCTCCGTGGGAAGCTCCTGAAATCAGCATCGCAAGACCCAGATCATTTCTTCTATGAAATCAAAGGGCATCGCTACCAGCATCACCAATTGTATTTAATACACACCACCAATTGTTTCACAAACCCAAAACCAAACACCAAACAATGAAGAAGCCTTCCCTCTCTTCATTTCTTCTTCTCTTTTCTCTCCGATTCTTTTCTCGTGCTTTATCAGATTCAATCTACGACAGTTTCCGTCAATGCCTCTCCAAGAACTCACCATCAGACCCAATTTCTGCCAACACTCTCTACAGCCCTTCAATCTTGCATAAAAAACCGTCGTTTCAACACCTCCATCACCGCGAAACCCTCACTCATCATCACCCCTCTCCGCGAATCCCATGTTGGCCCGTCGTGCTCTGCGCCAAAATTCTGGGGAGCTTGCAAGTTCAAGATTCTGGTCATTTGTGACTTACTCTCTCTTAATCAATTCCTTTAACTTATTTTTATTTTTTATTTTTTATTTTTTATCAGGAGTGTTTGTAGAGAGAGACAGAGGAAAGAGAGGTGATGATGGTGGTGGTTGTCGACAATGGCGATGGTGGCGGCGGTTGTCGGCAATGGCGATGGTGGCAGTGGTTGTCGACGGCGAGGAGGTGGCAGCGGCAATGACCATGTTGGGGAGGAGGTGGGTGGAGGAGATGGGTGATACAGATGATTAGTTAGAATATATATATATATATATATATATATATATATATATATATATAAACAGTGCTACGGTAGAGAAAGTGATTTCTATAAACAGTGTAAAAAATAGAGAAAGTGAGGATTTCTCACTTCCTCTTCTCTTCACAAAATTAGAAAGTACTTTCTTAAAACAAAAAAGAAAAGTATTTTATTAAACACAAATTTTACTTTTGATTCTCAATTTTAGGAATTGACAGCAGAAATCAGGAATCATTCCTGTTAGTAAACAGGCCCTTAGGGTGTGACTTGGTCCATCTAAATTCCATTTCATCACTTATTTCCTTCATCACCATCTTTCTTAGTTTTCTATGTACACACAGAACAAGAACAGAGTCCGTAGTTCTTATAATATTTTTCTAGTGTACATTTTTTTCCTCTCTTGGTAAGGAGTTCGCATTATATCTTGTAACTTCAGTAGTTATTTATCCTATAAATGTGTAGTTGCTTTCTAATTTTTTTTAGGCACTGTATCAGTAAATATAGAAAACTAATCAATCTCTTCGAGAAATTATAGCAAGATACTCATTATTTATACTTCAACTGTTATCATGGAATAAAAGAACTGGAAATAATCTCCTTTTCTATTTTCCTTTTGGCTGAGGTAGCAGAGGATTTCTTTTAATTTTAAAGTTTTTTTTTTAAACAAAATCTCCCACCCCTTCTCCTCCTCCTACTCAGTTAAGTGTGAGCCAAACAAATAAAACCCTTCTTGTGAGGTTCAAAAGAAAGGGAGCACAGAAGAAATGACAGTGGATCTGAAAGTGAAATACATTTGCAGTCTGTCTTGGTTACATCCCATGAAGGAATGAACAGTGATTGGGGCTTAGAGGAAGAGGACAATGAAGATATAGAAGGGTGATTAGGGGCTTAGAGGGAGAGTAAAGAGAGAAGATAGAAACGGAGAAGAGAGACACTGATTGATACACACACACACACACAATTGTAGGAACAAAATATGCATAAAATGAGTGGTAGAAATGAAATATTGAGATGAATTTGCTGTTGGACTAGAAAGGAATTGAACACAATTGTGAAATGGTTGAAGAAACACTGATTGAAGATAAAATGAGAAAATTGATAAAGATGGTTTGGACATATATAAAGAAGATCATTACGGGCACCAGTTTAGAAGAGTGCCACATTAAGAACGATGTCAGAAAAAGAAAAAAAAAAAATACGGAACACTGAGACTATAGAACAAAATAGAAAAATAAATTTCTTGTAGCCAAACTCAGATAGTTGAGAAAAAGCTTTGCTAAATTGAGTTGAATTAATGTGTTGGTAGGAAATCAAGGCATTCACATGTGAATAGGTGATAGAATGGAATGTTTTTGTTTGCCTAGGAAAATTATTGGAAGTTGACCTACATACTAGTATAAGTTGCCAACAATTATAGGATAAGAGTGGTGTGGTGGCTGATCACATGATTTTCTTTTTCTCTATGTTTTATTGGGCCAGCTGGCAACACCACTCAGATAGTCCACAACAAGAATTAAAATAATCTACTTATTTACGTGCCAATCATAACCCTTATGCGGATTTTTTTTTATTCATAAATTATAACAATTCAATGGTAATAGAGAATCGTACTAGGTTGATCCAGATCTAATCTTAACCGTCAGATTATCAACAAATTGGACGGCTCAGATTTTCCATCAAAGACGTGGGCGGTTGGAATGCTTTGAGGCTGAAAAGAGAAGTGAGGTCATATCCTCTAATGCAACCATTGCATTCACATTGTGGTCAGGTGGGGCCCTGGGGGCAGGACCAAGACTTGCAGTTATCAACGTGGTCAGGTTAGGGATGGCAGCAGGCGGTTTGGGGCGGGGATCCCATTCCCCATCCCCACCCTCGTTTAATTTCATTACCCCATAACTGTTCCACAACTGATTCCAAAATCTCCCCTCCTCCCCCTCCTTGCCCTCATCCGCCCTGCCCCAAACTGGCCCGCTGTTAGAGGTGTATCATATCGGATCTGGATGGGAAGTGAAATGGGTATATATAGGTTGGGTGTTAGTTCCACCAAATGGCTTAAGCTTTTGGTCGAACCGGGAAGCATTCGGCCCTGTTTAAATCCCTAACTATACTAAGAATCGAACCACTGAATGTCAAACCTTTAGTATTTTTTGTTAATGCCTTGAAAATCCTTTTTAACTCATCATCAAAACAAGGCATAGATACTAGTACTGCACCAAAGCCCACGTAACACAAAGCCATTCACAGAACTACTCCATATCCATAACCACTGCCATAAAGAAAAACAGAAAAAAGTAAAAGAGAAACTCAAAATCTCCTTCACGGCTTGAGCAATACATATATTGATTTGTATAGTGAGAGGGAGGGGGAGAGAGAGACAGAGAGCTGATCTCGATCTCCTTTACAGCTTTACCTCGATCTGAAGCACCGATCGAAGATAGAGTCACGGAGACAGCGAGGAGAGTGGAGAGGAGTCGTCGTGAGAATTGATTTATGCATTTCTCAATGGGGCTCCCTCACTTTTGTTATATCCATTTCTCTCCATCATGACAGCTCCACAATAGTTTTGATGAAGACATTCCAGGCTTCTTTGATGTTGAACAAATTTTGAGGTTGTTTGGAGTGACTCAAATTGTTCTTCTTAGTACATGGAATATCAACTAGATTGATCCCAAGCCATTATTATACTCACCTGTAAGATTTTTATCCTTGACTTGTAATAGTTGTTTATATAGTCACTTGTGTATCGTTTGGATTGCCATATTGATACGTTGCATGTCAGTTTTGTGTACCATCCATTTTCCATTATTTATGACCCGTCCATTTGTTTTCTTCTTCTTCTTCTTAAAAGGCCCTAATTCATTTTCATAAACATATGGAGAGAATTAGAGAGATTGAGAAAGTCTTTAGGGTATGACTTAGTGCATCTAAATCCCATTTGTTCACTTATTTCCTTCATAACCATCTTTCTTAGTTTTCCATTTACACACACAGATCAAGACAGAGGCCATAGTTTTTATATTATTTTTCTAGTGTACATTTTTTTCCCTCTCTCGGTTGGAGTATACATAATATCTTGTAACTTCAGTACTTTAGCTATGAATGTATAGCTACTTTATAATTTTTTAGGCATTGTGCTAGTAAATTTAGAAAACAGAACGTCGATCACTTGGAGAAATGATAGGGAGATACACATTATTTGTACTTCAAGTGGTTGTTTATTGTTTGTGAAACTATTCTGTCACTGTATCATTGAATAAAGGAACTTGGAATAATCTCCTTTTCTATTTTCCTTTTGGCTGAGGTAGCAGAGGATTTGTTTTTCTTTATATTTATTTTTTATTTTATTTTTTTCCCCTCCTCGGGGGAGAGTGAGCTAAACAAATAAAACCCTTCTTGTGAGGTCCAAAAGAAAGGTAGAAAATGTGTTGCACACTAGAATCACCACAGATAAATTACAGGGTCTGACAGTGAAATACATCTGTTTGTCTCGGTTACATCCCATGACGGGTGATTGGGGGCATAGAAGGGGAGGGCAATGAAGACAGGGAAGGGTGATTAGGGGCTTAGAGGGAGAGTATAGAGAAGGGAGAGAGAGATTTATATACTGATATATAATGACATTGGGAATCTGATTTTAGAATAATTGTTTTTGCAACATAATTTTCATAATAATAATGTTGTCATCAAGTAATTGTCCAGATTTTCAAATGGGTGCACATATTGATTCCTTATATATGGATTCAGTAGTCCTCAATAGCTAGTTGCTTAGCTGCAAATATATACCTATCCCATGAATGTTATATTGTAACTAGTAAAAAAACACAAACTAAGACACCAAGACATCGACATTGGAAGATTTACGACAGTACCCATAGGAAAAAAGATAAATAACATGAGAACCTAGTGTTGTGGGTGGCTACCATAGCAGAGAAATGCATGCAGATATTTTATCTCAGTTACTATAAGTGATAGGGTCACACCTACTTATGATTGAACTGGAGTTGCAATTCTTCTTCCTCGTTGTGTTCCAAAAGATTGTCCATATTAACTAGTAACTTTTTTATGACGTCAGTTATATCCAATCTTTCAGCTGGTGATTCGGTTAAACATGCAATACCAATTTTAAATATCATTGGAGGATGGTTATATTATGAGCCACAGATGCAAGAGCAAAATTGTTTTGCAAGAGATATCAGATGCTCAAGTGAATTTACCAATCTCTGACAACTAGAATTATACATCACTAGACAATATTGGTATTGCACTTATAACGACCCTAAACTGATACCATTTATAAAAAAAAAAAATTTTTTGGCATGACCTCTGCTAAAAAGGGATCTACAACAACCTGCTAAATTAAAAAAAAAATGCAACGGCCTTTCTTGGCCTTCCAAGATTTATCCAACCTGTCCTAATACACAATACAAAAAAAATATATAATACATTTCCCAATACTACCACATCAACAACTTGGTCGAGTTGGTCCATCATCGTAATCCCATTCAACTTAAGCATTTAAATAGTCTCAATTTACATAAAAAAATAGTCAAGTACTTTAGTTATGTTACATGGCCATAATAAAATAAATTAATACTCTTTTCCATAATTTGAGACTTTACAAAAATTAACCAAAACACAAGAGGTATCAAAATAGATCTTTAGTTCTCTTCATGCTTGAGAAGGATCGACATCCACTATTTTCTTTCCCGGTCCTGAAAAATGTTAAATAATGGGGTGAACGTAAAGCTCAGTAGGTAGTGCCTAAGACGCACCTCTTGAAACCCCGTGAATCAAAACAGAGAATAGGACAATAGGAATTGGGGTCATGCAAAACCGGGAAAACACAATATCAGTTCCAAGTTCAAGGCAAATAAATATTGTGCCATGAATGTAATGTTATGCATGTCACTCTCCATTTTCAGAAAACATCCATTACTTCACAAACTGTTAATATAACCCGCCCTTTGGTGACTCCGCAGCGACACGAGAGAAGGATTGGCCACTGTCCCTGACCTTTGGTACCTCTGTAGCATCATTTGGGACCCAGATAGCTTAACCACGCTAGCGCAATCTCCCTAGTTCCCTCTAGGTTATATTAACACACCAGCCATTTGGTGACTCCGCGGCGACCGGGTTTTCCTTAAAACATTTTTCTCAAATTTCTCCCCAAAATCCCCTTTTTATTTATTCAAAATCATTTCCCATCATTCATGCCCCATGGTATGCATGTATGTCTCATGTATTCAATGCTAGGGCAATAACAAATTTCCATAATACTTCCATAATTAAACAAGCTTTACAATAATTCTAAGAAAATTTCCATGAGCTTCCATTTATCATTTCTAGCAATTTTGTCAACACAATAACATAAAGAAATTATAATAATTCTAAGAAAATTTCCTTGAGCTTCCATGTATCATTTCTAACAAT